AGGATTTTACAGCCCACACTCAAGACTGAGTCATACCCATGGAGGAGTTAAAATTACCATTTCTTTTTTCCCCTACATAAGGTTGTCTTTTCCAGCTCCTCTCATCCCAGCTGGTTATCACCTTCACTGCTGTTTCCTCATGCCCGTCTAATCTTCTCTCCTTCTACTTCATCCCATTTGTCTCCCAGCACTCATGATACACCTTGCTGTCAATAGTGAATGCAAGTTACCACTTGTCTTGCTCCAGCAGATGAGAAATTCATAATAAAAATTGAACAAGGACTATGAGTGGAACAATGAAGAGAAGGAATACATAATCTCTTCTTTCAAAGAATCCCTGGGAGAAAATTATTCTGCACCAGTAAACTATTTCAGCCTGTCAGGACAGTGCACAGCTCTCTGGACTTCACAACCAAAGGAGAAGAGGCATCAATCCTTATTCCAACAGAATAAAAATAACTTAAATAAATAAATAAACAAAGAAATCAAAAGCAAAATTGTTAGGCACTGAAATGTGTTGTCCAGAACACCTGTACTATCTTCATTCTTAAATTAAGCAGAACTCAGATGGACAGGTCCTAAGCAACCCATCTTAACTTTGAAGCTGTGCCTGTTTGAGTAGATGTTATGCAAGACATACAGATATCCCTTCCATCCTAAATTTTATTCATCAGTAACTTTGGTAAGAACCAGCTTTGTGGAAAAAGGAGCTTGCAGGAGGTAAGAAGCCCTTATGATTAACTACAACATAAGGATTGCATTTCCTCCTTGGTTTTACTGAAGTGGTCATGAATAGAGACTAGGAAGCAAGAAGAAGATATGAAGGTAGATGACTACACTAAATAAATGGGGTTGTTTTATGGGACAAATACTGCAGAAGTGGCTGAAAAATAACTGGATTTCAGTAAAGGCTGGCATAGGCTTATAACTGAGGAGAACTGTGGTGAATGTGCATGTGTTCTGCTCTCCGCGGCAGAGCAAGTATGTCTGCTACCCTAAGAGAAAGGCTTTTTTCTAGTTGGTTGATGGGTTTGGGATGTTTTTTTTTCTAATAGATTTCCCACTGGATGCCTGAATTGGTAGTTATGAGATGACCTTCCTCCACCCGCAGCAGGAAATCAAGCACGTATTGATTGCACAACATGACATTCATTGCAAAGCTAACATATAACAAGACAGCTCTTTCTTCCAGCACAAGAAGATAGTAAACACTGTAGCCTCCTAAACTCCCAACCCCCAGCAGATTGTGATTTAATACCATTTCTAACTAGTTTCTTCTAAAGAGGACAAGTCCTGATTTCCGAATTCATGCAGAACGGTTCAGCAGCCCAACCCACTCATCGCACTTGTTCTTCTGTACTGGATAAGAGAGAAATGGATATTTTGCTTGTGTGCAATCCCAAGACAAACAAAAATCAAGGGGAAAAAATGATTACAAGAGTTACAGATGTTAGGCAGGCCTTTCAAATCCTCCCCGATTAGAGACATTCAAAAAGGAAATTCTTCCTTTAAAAAGCTCAAAACTGCAACAGAAAATAAATCAGTGAAAGTAAGACCAAATTAAAGTTCTTCTAGAAGGAAAAACATGATTGCTGTGGGATAATACTGTCAGACAATTGCTTAGAGCTGAAGCTGTTCTTATTGTTTAATTTCTGGTTTCTTTCATTTTGCTTTTGTAACATGAGTTTCTTCACATTGGCATAGCGGCAAGCTACCTCCCAAGGAGCTGGAGAGATAGTCAAATAACTAGCAATGTTTCACTTTTGATTGAATATCTTGCTTGAGGCATATTTTCAGGCTTTGGATGAAAGCATAGGAAATTGCTATGATAAGCCTCAGACTTTAAAGTAGTACTGTAGTGGGGAAGACACTTTGCTAGAGTACATATTGTGGAACATTTCAAAGCAAGACAGCAGAACGCTATTCTGTTACTGACAGAAGAAAATTCGGTCACTATATATGAGATTAACAGAACCCACACAAACATAAAACCCACTTTTTAGGATTTCTGTAGTACTAGCCTTAGAAAAGCAACAGTGATTTTAAATAATTTGATACAACTTTCTGTATTATTTGTCAGTTAGAAAAGAGAGCAAAGAATTTTCAGTAGAATTGCCAAAGAATTTTTTTTTTTTTTTAGACGTAATTGTCATACAATGTTCAGCACTTTGTGACGCTGGCCTGTATTAATTCCAAACCAGGAGCTATTACTGTCACATTATAGTTGCCTGTGCTGCAAAAGGCAAAGGCTTCACCTAGGCAAATACCTCATCTATTTCCTGCCCGAGATCCAGGTTCCAAAGTCTCCAGCATAACTGATCAAGAGTTAATCATCAACATATTTGCACTGAGAATTTTCAGTCTTTTCTAGATATTGTGTTCCTGAAGAGGAAGGCAAAATTTCTCACAAGTTATTTTCCTGGGAACAGAGAAAAGGACCTCTAATGGTACCTGTATACAGCCTATTTTCATTAGAACAATTACAAGCAAGCTGGCTTAAACCAGAACGTTGAAGTCTCTGCCAAAAGCACATTACAGTTTAACCACAATGGTTAGCCATCACCTGGTTGGATAGGACCGTTTCTCAGGAACTTATCAAACACACAGATAAACATTTGCTTGCATATTTGCTCTTCTACTGCCTTCTTCCCCGAGGGTACTAAGGAAAAAACAGAACAACCAATAGCATGTCCTGCCTTTGCTGTATGTGGTTTGGTAACACAAATGTAATATTCTACCCAGATCTCTTCAATCAAATGTAAAGTCTTGGCTTACCTTTCTGGTGTTACATCTTCATTGCTGCTCGAGTGTGCTATTTCTAATGTATCTCCATTTCCTCTGTAAATGGAAAAGTCTTCCCTGCTGGCAGAAAAATTATGTTCCTTTCCAATCCAATCCACAGTCACCTTCCTTTCCAGTAAACAAGCCCCGGACAAAGCAGTTCTTCACCCTGGCTGGAGAGAGGCAGCAGTGCCAGGGTGTGCAGTTCTTTCCCCTCAGGTACTTCAAATCTACTGCAGAACAGCTTGCTGCGGGGAGGTGAGGGAGATAAGTTGGCTGTTAATTTATTGAAGACTCCAGAAGTGGAAGCAGCCTTAACAAGCCAAACACTTGATGCGACCCCACAAACTTCTTTCTTCCAGGTCTTCTTCTTTACTTGCCCCTGGAAAATCTTGTATGAGCCAGGACCCCAAACAACAAATAGTGATGGGGTGAATTATTTATTCGTGAATTTACTAGCTCATCCTCATCCCCAAGAAATTTATTTATACTGCATCTTTTGACTCAATTTCCTACTGTCCTCAGCCTCCTCCCCGAAATTTCCCTCAGCAGGCCCTAAATGTCAGTCCACCTCCCTCAGCTCCCCATCTCTCAGCTCCTTGACCAACACCCCAGCCACTTCCCTACACAGCACCGGGGCTGGCTGGGTAAGCTGGAGTTAATGCTACACCCCCACCACCTTGTGCACACCTTGTTGCTCAACCACCCCCCTCCACCAACATTACAGGAGCTCCACCAAAACATGGAACCCGGGCCCCTCCAAACCCTTGCCAGCCCTTTCCTTAGGCCATGTGCTTCACCAGACTCTCCCACCCCACAGCTGATTCCTAATGAGAAAAACATGGTCAGAAGTGAGGGTTTTCTCTTCATCTTCAATCACTCCTCCCTATTTCAACCTGACCCCCAGCCTGTCGCAGAATCAAAAGCCCTAAGAAGGGCTGTGGTCATGCTATAGGCCTGCTTAGTACCTTTCTATAAGTAGAAAGCCAAATTTGTTAAAATATGAAGAAAATTTTTGTGATATTTCATAGAAAAATAAACTATTTGGCTAACTGGGCCAAGCACTATTGGATTCTGTCTCATAGTGTTGTACTTTTAAGAAGAAATGGTGGGGACTAGGTTGCTTTATTCACAGCTGGAGTATCAGAAAGGCACAGCACAGAAGAAAGGATATTTTGGTAGCACCCAGGAATGCTCAGACCAACAATTTCATAACAATCAAACACCCAGTGGAAGCCACTGATGGACAACATTTAAAAAAAAAAATTAAATTATAAATTGTTTCAATGAATTACTATGAACATGATTCTGGTTAAAAAAAAATTTGCTGGGGCTAGGAAAAATGACACCAGCAAAATATTTGACATTCAACAGGATACTGCAAGCAAATTAGAACCATTTTATGACATTTGAATTATTGGAAATTTGAACAAAGATGGGCAAAAAGAGCTGTGATTTCCTAGTGTGCCGAGTGAAAAGCATTACACGGGCAGACATAACTAAAAAAGAAAATAAAAAAATAAGTCAGGCTGATTAAAGAACTCAGATTTTGTTTTTCTGATGTGTTATTGTCTATATTTATGCAATATGAAAAACACGGCCTTACCAAACAGACTGACCAGAGCTTAGATGACAAACTCTCTTTGAACTAATTACAGAAAAAAGGAAAGCAATCACAGCTTAGTGTCCTGTCTTTTGCTGGAGTTCACAAGCTGTTACACGATGAAGGGCACTACTTATGGCTTGCACATCTTTTCCAGTTAAGTGTTGGCTGAGAACTGTTTTTTCTGAATTGCTTTTCCTCAGCAGCCCTCGTTTAAACCATCCAACTATCCAGAGCAGCATTTAGCATGCTCCAAATCCCTCGCAGCCCAATTTGAATTTTTGTTCTTTCCACAACAAAGAAAGAGCTTGCAACTTTGAATTCATAACAAGAAGCTTCTGCTTTTCACACAAGAATGATTTGTTACCTCCTTGCTCTCTGTAGTGTAAAGCCTTGGGCTCATTAAAGACAAAGTAGTCACACAGGTAACAGTGTTCATAATCCCATCAACCAGGAGAAATGAATTTGTGGATACTATATCACTCAATTTAGCTAGTTTGTTACAAGACAAGGCAAATTACGTGGTAGCTGTCCTCTACACAGGGCAGATTTTGTGAGTCCTCTAAATGTTCTTTGCTCATTCTAAATAGGTATTGCACTATACAAAAAACCCACATTTGTTACTAAATGTCAAGGTTTATTTTGAGAATGCAGTTAGTATGTAATACCTGGAAGATGAACAGCTATTGTAAATACAGAATAAAAGCTCAAGCACCATAGCTCTTCTGTTCCTGTATTTGTGTTTTACAACAAAAGACACAGCACTAAATTGCATAACTTCCATAAAAGGTGCCATAACTAATTTAGAAAGACAATGCCTCAACAAATTAGCATTTCAGATTGACATACATGTGCATGCATGGTCATGAGAATTCAAAACAGGGGCCCAGAGAGCCCGGTAACATGAAGTGCTCTTAATCCCCTTCAGCTGTGCTTTGAAGTACAAGCAGTACCTGTTTTGTCATGCTCAGGTCCTCTGCCTCAGCTCCATAAGGCAGGCTACTAATTTTCTCTAATCAGTTGCGTGAGTGTTAGTAAGCCTTGTCAGCTCGTTTACATCAGCGGACACCAATACAATAGGAAATGAACATATTGATTTCACCCAGATCCCTGGGCAGCCACCAGTTACCAACATATCTCAGCTGAGTTTGAAAACAGTGATGCTCTTGATTGCAAAATGACTTTTTCCCTGCTGCTGCCCTCCCCATGATCACTTCTGATCAATAGATCATTCTGATTCACAGACACATTTTCCTCAGGAGGCTTTGAACCAGCTAAGTTCAATTGCTAGCTCAAAGAAAATGTTGGCATTTATTTTTTTATATTGCAAACTAATTCTACATATCCCCTCTCCCAGGATTCATCAAAAAGTTGACTCCTTTACTGAAAGGTCCTATAAAATTGAGGCAAAGTACAAGATTATAAAGGTACCTCTAGTAGAAATGACAGAGGATGAAACTCATTGATACCACATCGCAAAGAACACATGGGAATTTGTTTAAACAAGACAGTGGTGAGTTTCCTAGAGGCAAGGAATTTAATGCTAAAATCTATCAGAACTAATGTGTGTCTCATGACTTTTAAACTCAGCAATTACAGTATAAATCGGCTCAATTTCACTGTAACTGCCCCAAAATCAAATGTTTGTTATGGATATACATTTACAATGAAACAGCCAAAGAGTTGTTCTTACCCAGACCCAGGCTAGAACAAGCAGAGACAATTACCTCCTCTTTTTTTTTTTTTTTGGATTAGCTTCATAAATTATCTTTCAGTTTTGTCACTAAACCCTTGAATTTAATCTGTACTAACCTCATTTAAACACGCAGTGGCTTTCGCCCATCTGTACAATGACATTTCTGGATAAGGCTCTCACATCTCGTCTCCCTTCTTCCAATAGGAAGAAGTGAGGGGTAGCAAAACCTGCCACTAATGCTTAAGCTTCCTGGAGCAGGCTGGCTACAAGCATAGCTAGGATAATAATTTGTACCCTCCTTCAACCACACATAATACAGTCTTTATTCAGCAAATAGCAAAGTCGTTTCACACCATGCCAAAGGTCAGCTTTTGCTGTATTAATAGCTGCTCTGGGAGGATCAGTGTTGTGCTATCCTACATTTTTTCCAGGGCCTGGAGATGCAATTTCCTACAATCTGCAGGCAATTTCCCACCAATTTTCTTGGGGAGCTAATAGGCTGTGACAGGAGATGGAGCTAGCAAGCAGCAGGCGGCTTCAGAAAAGACAAATTGCATCTCTGCCATCTAACTGGGCAATCTAGAAAGACAGAGTTTATAGCTTTGTAGTGCTACTGGGCCCCATGCTAGCAGCAAATCATTCAAGCTGCTATCTGAATTTCATATTCTTTTCCTTCTGAATTTGTTATCACCACATATCACTCTGTCGCACTTTTTCTACAAATGACAGTTAAACACAGATCATGTATGATTACTAGTTTAACTGCCTTTTAACTAGACAAGCCTTACTAAATGCTATTCACACTCAGAAACAGAGAAATATACAGTCTCACTGTCAAATACAGTGATATTTTTGATTATTTTCATACTTGTCAAGGTACAAAGCAGATGCCTACAGCAAGGGATTGATTTATAAGCTAAATTCAAATGAATCACACAGTGCAAACTATAGGAACATTTAAAAAAGCCACTACAGTGAGCATACCTATTGTGGTAAGAAAGTCCCACTGATCATATACAGTAAAAAATGAAAGCATAATAAAAAGCCAAATATCACCAGTAAGTTCTTCCTCTACTCTAGCAGTGCTTGAAACCTAAAAAGTTAAATTCAACGGTCTATGATCAGTTCAATACCATCCATACAAGCATTTTCCTTACAGATTTAAAATTATTTAAAGTTAGTAAAACTAGTAAAGCTCTAAGAATGTATCACCATATCCACTTTAATAGAAATGAAACTGATTTAAAGCTGTTAACCCTCACCTAAGATATAAAAAAAAAATAGTAAAGAATTAAAGAAAATGATTCAAAGGCACATAATGCTAGCAACTATTGCAAGTTATATCTGTCACTGTACTTCCCCTTACTATTACAACAAACCCAGGGGATAAATACTGTAAACATATTCTATTACAGAACCCTGTATATCTGCATGTTTTTCATCAAAATATAGAAGAACAAGTTTCTGAAGGCATGGAGATTATTAAAAACAACCAACAATATTAATGAAATTATTATAATTAGCAAAATTTGCAAGGTTAATATTTCCCCTCCCCCCAGTAAGATTAAATTAGATAGAGTAAAAACAATCCCACCTAAATTATTGCTGTCCACTGGGAGACAAAATTAGTACTGAGATGTATAAAATCTTACTATAATTCAACCCTAAGGAATTTTTTTAATTACATAAGTAATGAAAAAAATGTAAAATTACAGTGAATAAAGTGTTGAAATATTCTAACATGCATTTTGAAATTCTCACATTTAAACCACTTGTCATTAATATCCCCATTTCATATTTGTGGTTTTTAATAAGTTACAGCTAGATAAAATACTGAAGAGCCAAGCAGAATTATAAATAGAGTACCAGGTCAATAACTTGCACTCAACGAAGAAGAGTGTCTACATAAACAAATAAAAAATGCTACAAAAATCATTCAAAAAACAGAAGTACTTTCTTAAACAGATTTGCTGATAAAACCACAAAGGAATATCAGGACTTGAGAATCTTGAATTTAACAAATAAAAACTAATGATTTCTCTACACAAGTCTATGAACTTCTTAAAGTACACATTCAAAAACTCAATTATATCACAGTTTAGCGAATATTCACTCAACTGCTGTCAGAAATACACATCTCATACAATTAACAATCAGAAAGAGAAAAGTAGAAGCATTATGTATGTATAACGTTTTAAAACATCTTTAGGACTAATACATAATTCAGGAGAAAACACAGGGGAGCATAGTAGTAGACTGGTCCCTGCATAAAAAGGAAACTTATTCCAGGAAGTAAATTTAACGTGGCACAAAGTTTGAATCACTGAACTCCAAAGTTTTGTTGCATACATGGCATGTTATCAAATACCTAACTGACATTAAGGTCATTTACATACTTAACAGTAGTGTCTGGCTGATTCATTGACAATCAAAAATATATTGAATTTGCAAAGCCATCAGATGATATTTTTACTTGAAACCTAATTAAGAAAATACTCAGGTCCAACTGTAAGAAATAACTACAGCAGGAATATTTTTTAAGAATAAAGGGGAGGAAGCTTCATTGCTCTCCAAAATATCTTGCTACAGCAAACCACAAAATAAGAGTTATTAGCTTATCATAACTGCAGCCAATTTTTAAAGTAATGGAGTAACCCTCTGTAGATTGCTCTAAGGAAGTGGGACAAACACTGAAATGAACAGATGGATTTTATTTTAAACAAATTAGGCTCACTACCAGAAAAGTAACAAGTGATTTCTAAGTTTCCCAATGCTATGGGTTAACTATGAGTCAACAAGTGCCAAGTGCAAAGTCCTGCACGTGGGTTGGGGCAATCCCAAGCACAAATACAGACTGGGCAGAAAATAGATTGAGAGCAACCCTGAGGAGAGAGACTTGGAGGTGTTGGTCGATGAGAAGCTCAACATAAGCTGGCAATGTGCGCTAACAACCTCGAAAGCCAACTGGATCCTGGGCTGCATCAAAAGAAGTGTGGCCAGCAGGTCCAGGGAGGTGATTCTGCCCCTCTACATGGCTCTGCTGAGACCCCACATGGAGTATCGTGTCTAGCTCTGGGGCCACCAACAGAGGAAGGACAGCGACCTGTTGAAACTGGTCCAGAGAAGGGTCATAAAGATGATCAGAGGGCTGGAGCACCTCTCCTATGAAGACAGGATAAGAGTTGGGGTTGTTCAGCCTGGAGAAGACAAGGATCTGGGGAGACCTTATAGCAACATTTCAGTACCTAAAGGGGGCCTACAGGAAAGATGGAGAAGGACTTCTTTTCAGGGACCATAGTGGTAGGATGAGGGGTAACAGTTTTAAACTGGATGAGGGAAAATTTAGATTAGATATTAGGAAGAAATTCTTTACTGCGAGGGTGGTGAAACTGGAATGGGTTGCCCAGAGAAGCTGTGCATACCACATCCCTGGAGGTGTTCAAGACCAGGCTGGATGCGGCTTTCAGTAACCTGGTCTAGTGGAAGGTGTCTATAACTACTATTTATGACACATTCATTCTGCCTGTTTACTATTTTAAACTGTTATTAAAAGCAGTCCTTGAAGAAAACCCAGAATTTATTATCTACTGTTACAAGCTATCATCTCTACTTTCTATGTTAATGACAGAGCATACGAAAGGGATAACGACAACAGTGTGTTTGATTTCTCAATTCCCAAACTATGTGTTACCTTTGCCTCTAACTCATTCTTGGCAGAAAACAGAGATCGAAACAAGGTTCAAGAGATACTATTCCTTTGTACTGTGAACACAGCAAAGGCAATCCTTGCCGTGCTCTACGCAACACTATCTAGTGCTCCTTGTAGCATCTCTTCTGAGTCAGCATAACCTTACTGTGGACAAAATTGCATGTGAATTCTTCGGAGAGAAAACATTTCAAAATTTAAATCTGACCTCAGAAGCCACCACAGAATTTTTCTGTGGCAAGCCAACTATACCAACCATCAATTCCACAAACAACAAGAGTATAGAGCAATGATACTATCTTATTTCTGGGTGCTTGCTTTAGAAAGGGAAATCATTACAACATACACTGGCTGATACTACCTATGGAGATTCTCTTGTAGTCTACATATGGCCAACAGACTTGTTAGCAACAGAAATCTTACCAATGCGTGACTCATAAAGGGCAAGCCTATTGTTCAGCTTCTGGGAGTGAACTGTGGGTCCTGACATTAAGGAATATTGTTGGGGGGGGACAGGAGGGGGAGGAACCAAAACAAAACTCTGCTCAGCTTTGCAAACGATAACTAACATTTGTTCCCACACCGCCAATTTTTTGGTATTCAGTTTTCTGAGAACAGCACTTTAGTTCCAAGGAAACAAAAATCTAGCTTTCTCAAAGACTAATGTATCATAGAAGCAATGGGTTCATTTGGAGATATAGCATCTTTAAGAATATTCTGCCCTCTGAAAACAATTCTTCGTTCATTCTTCATTCCCTTCATGTTTTCTTGTTGTATTTAATTTATAGGTTCTTTTCTTGAAGTTATGAAAAAAAAATATTAAATTAACACAGAAAAAAACCCCAACAAACCACATCCATGTGTTTAAAGTGTGTTCAAAGCAGTTTTTGCTGGTTTAGAAAATGTTTAAGTGAGTGTTTGAGCTCTCCAATATAGTTGGAACAGAAATTTGGAGTAAACTTCTCAACATGTCAGCAAGGCAGACCCACAGGGCAGATTTTTAAAGCACCCAGCTCCTACATGTCTGGTTTCCCTAGCAAAATCTACCATGCTACACTAAGCACTTAAGTTACAATGGGACATCTGGGAGCATGTTGCTGAAAACGGGATTATTAATTGCTGGAAAGCTGATCTTGAGCTACAGAACTATTAGGTAATGGGAAATGTTGAGAACTGGCTGTGATTTAACTCTTCTCTCAGGATTAGGTGACTACTTATGGATGTCAAAGAAATGCCCGCTTCCAGTTCCAATACATAGCTCAGGTGTCCTTGAATTACTCTGCAGAAACACCTGAACAACTTTATGGAAAAACAGTAGACAATGAAATTGCATACATGGAATCTCATTCTAGGTGAATTTTGTAGATTGCATGTTAGACTACCACGAGAACCTGTATATATGTTCCCATTCTCCCTTATCCCACTGCGTACTCTCTTCCATGAACTCTTTCTTCCATTCTGGTGTTCATCAGGTCCTACACTAAGCTGCCTCATCCTTCCCACTCTGTAATACAAGATCTCTCTGGCAGGACACAAGTCTTATATAGACCTACATTCTCACATTCTTTCTATGAACTTGTGGTAGGGGAAAAAAAAATAAAATCATAGGAAGACATGATACAGTTGCAGCCAGTCCACCTTTTCCAGTGAAGTGGCTTAAGGGGTAAACACTTTATCAACAGTGCGAAATCTGAATTCAGTTCTCTTCCTTAGCCTGAAAACATTAAAATCCACCTCTCAGTCACTAGAATGATGGAACTTCCCCATTGACTCAAAATTGCACAAATGTAATAGAAAATAATGAAGGACTACTCTAACTAGATTACACAATCCCACAGTCTTATAAATGGGTCAGTCTTCCCCTCCTCTCCCCCCCAAAAAAAACCCCACCAAAAAAATCAGTTTGTCAACCTGGATTTAAGTTACTTAAGCAACTTAGACACTTCTGAAAATTCTACCTGCATCGTCAATGAAAAGATGTGACAGAAAAATTATGGTCAATTGTTTATACACAAAATCACACATATGCCTAGACAATAGATTCTACTCTGATGTTTATATCACAAAATAACACTGTAATTTTAACAGTCTATGAACTTCATATTAATTTGGTGCTCCCTCTTCCTTTTACAGGAACAAAAGCTTATGAAGTGCCAAATGAGTTTAAAAGAATAAATGCAGACAAAAATTCTCTCTCAAGAACCAGTGCTTTGTGGGTTGATATGGAACTCTTTGCTTGGAACTATAATCAAAAGGAAATACTCTGACATACTGACAAATGCATTGTGTGGAATAATATAATGATTTTCTGCAATTGGTTTATAAAAGGTTTATAAAAGGCTAGTGCATATACACAAAATATACGTAATAGAGCTAGCAAAGGATTTTGTTCAGTTGAATTGATATTACCACAAAATCTCCTCTTCATCAGATATTGTTTGCACTAACATCCAATATGTCATTTGTAAGGACTCCCTGCTTCTGTCTGGCACTAGTATTTGCCAGAGTGGCATTCAAACATCTCTGAATACTGAGGACCACCCAGCAAACAAAGAACGGGGACAATCAAAGGAATCTTTTAGAATTGTAATTAAATTGACAAAAAAATATTAATTACCTTCATCATAGTATTGATGTACCTCTTTTTTTCCATGTGCGTTTCCCAGTGCCTTTTCTGTTACTGCTGGTCTAGGTTGGCCTATTTCTTCATTCAATATGCAATGATTTCCACCCACTACTTTACCAAGGGGTATAAGAATTTACAGAAGTTTTATGTTCTATGAATTTTAAATCTTGTAGGTAATAACGTAGGCAGACATGCCAAGATTTCATCAAATATATATTTTCATTAAAAATTATACCTGCTTATAGAATAGGCTTTGCTGTTTGATAAATTAAAAAAAACAACTTTCATAAACTGTAAGTTAAACCTGAAACAAAAAATTATAAATTGAGACCAATATTGTATGATGTGTTCTCAAGTTTTCAGATGCTTAATGCTTAAGGTAGAGCTGAGTGGGGAAAAAAAAATATTCTTAATTATGACCAATAAAAATTTTGTACACATATGATTAAATTCATTCATATGCATAAATAATGCCAAATTGCATAACTGCTCTGACTCACTTGTGCATTCTAGAAGCTAAGAAGAAAAGACAAGGTGTTTCATGATTTTCCTGACACTATGATTTTACATCTCCTGATGGCAAAGACTGTGGTTTTACTAACAACCACCATGTTGCAGCTTAAAGCAGATCCACTATATACATGTGTATATTTTTTTTAAAGTTACATGAATGTGTTAGAATACTTTCATTCTTGGTTCCTCTGATATAAACTTTTAATAAAGGCAAAAGAACACCTATAAAGTAAAAGCCAAGGTGATAGCAGTTTGGAAGAAATCCAAATGTTCCTAATTAAAACAAATTTGCCAGTGCTGCTAAACAAATGATCATTGGCAGAGTCAGACATTTGGAAAAAATTCAATATGGAAACAGGTTCAGTAAAGTTCAAGTAACCTAGTACATAATATTTTTTTTAAACTTTTCTTTTTTAAAATGACACAGCACTTCACAGCATTTCAATGTAAAAAATATAATTACTTCTTTGAAAAGCCTGATGATTCTGCTTTTTGCCTCACTCTGTGTGAAAGGAATATGACCGCCACCTAAGTTGGTCTGCCATTTTCATACAGACAGGTATTTACAACACGGCAACAGACAAATATATAGATACATATGGATAGAACACTGATTTTAAATGTCTAGGAAATCAGGTTATCCTGAATGGTTAGCATTTTTCATTTCAAATGCAAAGTTAATTATTAAGTATTAAGGCCATTACAATTCTAGATGCTATAAAATGGTTTCAGTAGAATGGTCATGTAAATTGAAAAGAAAACTCATATCTCTTCAGACAGGAAATTGAGAAAAAATTTGCCCCCAGATGAGAATTTCCTTATCCAGTCAATGCATCTGTCAGTTAAACTTGTTTCTTCCTAGTTACGTGCCTTTGAAAGAGCAGGGATATAGGTCATAGTCAAATGCTAGTAAAATGAGAAAGCAGCTCTTCACAGATGAATCTTAACCTGTCTGCCAGTTTGTGTTATCTGAATTATTTGTTCAAAGATATAGTAGTCTATAGTAGAGTGTAGTCTCCATTAGCAACAGAAATTCTAATTAAATTAGAGAATGTAGGAAATGAATGACCCTCACTGGTGCAATAGCTAGGTTTGTCTAGCACACAGTGGTAGAACTCGTTAACCTGAAAAAACATAGGCAGAATAAAATGTACACATTCTCTCTTCCTCCATTTCCCTTGAGTACACCAAGAAAACTTGATCTGAAGATGCATAGCTTTGGTAACTGGCTGCTTAGCATGGCTCTTCACAGATGTCACACACTGATGCGACAGTGGAAAGGACTCAAAGATTGCTCAGTATGAATACACAGAGCCTATAGCCCTGCATAAGACGGGACACTCAGGAAAATTAATTCTAATTAATTTGTACGGTGGATTAGTTAAAAATAAAAATATTCCTTTGTCAATATTCTCACAAGAAATTAAGAAGCAAGTTTAACTTAGTTTAGGTTAATTCACTTCACTTGCAGACCTGCTTTTAACATTGTTTAAGTGATCCCCTGTAAAACTGACACTTTTGGTGATTTAATTAAATTTACCTGAGTATCTACCTATAGACAAGACATTAAAAAGGAAATGGTCATTGACTACCACTTCTCGGTAAAATACAAAGGATGCAACTTATCTAGCTCTGTTTAATCATAGATATCCTCAGTTAATGAACAAAGGCTCTGATGTACTTAGTTGAAACGCAGTCTTGCATGAATTTTGTTCAGCTGGGGGAGAAAGGAGAGGGAAGTCATCTCTTCTTCTAGAGGAATGACCAAATGACATCATCAGGCACATATCACTGTATCTGCCAAAGAACATATACATGGAACAGCAGAATAAACTTAAAATAAACTGCACAACTTTATGAAATGTTCAATTTTTATATTTACACTATAATTAGTACAAAATTGCCTTTTAAGTTTTCTGTAGCACAAGACAGTATCTACTAGACTTGATACCCTAATACGTCAAAACAACTACTTCGAAATACGATAAAGGAATCTAGGAAGAGTTATAAAGAATAAGACACCATTTTCAAACTATACATAGTGTTTGCTTTTGCTTCTAAAAAGGTACTTATATCCCCAAAAGGTTTTTAATTTTAAATAAGCAGGGGGGGCAGGGAAGGGGGAGGGGGAGGGGGGGGAAGACTGGTTGTTGGTACTAAAGCCTTTACTGTAATAAACTAAACATATTTACAATTTGTACAAATGTTTGACCTTCAACAAAAATACAAAAACATATCACAAGATGCAAAACCAGCAAACAAGTTCATCTGAGACACCACTGCTCTACACAGGACAGAATGCAACTTGAACTGCAAGGAACAGAAAGGTATTTATCCCCCATATTCAGGCAATGAAACAATTAGCATGAGGTCACAAAGAAAGAAAAAAAATAAAAGGCTCCAACATTCTTCAGTAGACTCAGCTTTTAAAAACTATGTCAAAAACCTAGGCTACATCTGTCCATCTTGCCTCTGTGTTCTGTTTGGTCCACGTAGCCAATAACTTGGTTGCTGGATGTTGCATTCAATTTTGAAGAATCGGAGTAGTTTCATGGCAAGTCTGGAACCTCAATACTTTTGTTCCTTTTTAAAAGGCAAAACCTTTCTACTTCTACAATTGAGAACAATTTTGGCCCAGTTCAACTTCTAAAAGTTATATCCCCATCATATTTTTCAGTAGATAACTTCATAGACGGTAGCCTTTTTGTCTCCAGAGCCAGTGACTATGTACTTATCATCCACAGAGATGTCACAGCTAAGTACTGACGAAGATTCTTTGGACTAGAAGAAAAATAGATATATATTAGATCATTATAAAACAAAAAAAACCCCAGTCTGTTACTCTAATCTCAGCATCCTGTTTTGGGTAGATCACATAGGTGAAGATATCCGAGTCCACTCCTGGGACTCCAAGTGTTTTAGCTTTTTCTTTAAATCCATCATCCTCACCTGGAAGATACTGGCTCCATAAGGAGTTCTCCATGCATTAAGAAGGTTATCTTTTCCAGTACTCACAAACCATTTACCTAGAATATAAAACAGAAGGACTATGAAAACATATGACACAGACATCTGACAGATTTGGCATTTTCATCTCCCATCTATGAAATCTGTTAACTAATTCCCATTATAAAAGCTCTCACCTCTAATCAACACAGTACTTTTGCTTACAATCAATGTGGACACTTGTGCTTTTGCATACTAGGAAATTCCTAGACTCTGTAAGTAGAAATAGCTTATTACACACAAATCAACCCTCACAGCAGCCTTTAGACAAACAGATGGTCGTTTGTAGATAAGTATGTTTGAATTCATAAAGCAGAGATATTTATACATAACTTAAGAAACTAAGATACTAAATAAGTTTTGATTATCAAAAGAGCCATGACTATGTAAAAGCTAATCAGCAAAGCATGAATTTGAGTCCTGACCTTGAATTCTGTTTTCAGGGCAACTTACCACAGTAAGCAAACTTGAGTGACAATACGCAACTCTCATGAAGGTGCAGTTGATATTTGTCTGGTTTATTTACATGTAGCACTTCTACATTGCTGCTCTCCATTCCCACAGCTAGCCATTCACCAGTAGGACAATAACCAAGGGAAAATATCTGAAAATTAAACCACATTTACACTGTTTTGTCTTTTTGGTTTGTTGGTTTTTTGTGTTTTTTTTTTTTTTTTTTTCAGTGGTTAAATGAATTGTGAGAGGGAGAAGAGCCAAAGAAAATTCAATAGCAAGACTGCTGTTCAAAATTCAAGTGACCAAATAACCTGTTCTTCCCTATTCACTTAGAAAGAATAGAAAAAGAGAGTAGTATCAGGCTATGATTTTGTTCTAGGAGCTAAACATATGAAACCTCCAAACTACTGTCTTGTGAACAGCCAAAGGGAAGAGAGGGAACAATCTGCCAGTTGCACTCGGCTCAATCTCAGCTTTCATCCTAAATGTTTCCACCCCACTGCACAAACACACCCCTCCAAGCTGTTGGAAAGTCCGGTTACCTGTGATGTGAAGTCGTGCTGTTGTAGCTGTCTCCCTTCTCTCAAGTCCCAGGATCTGACAGTGTTATCCAAACCTCCTGTCCAGAGCTTGGTACCATCATTAGAAATGTCAATACAGCTGGCTCCATCTGTGTGGCCCTGGAATTGCCTGATAAAACAAACCAGATTGAATAATGATTTCCTGCCAGAGCTCAAGGTAAACACTGTTGTGGTGTTAGTTTTGGACTCTGTATGTGTGTTTCATCTCTTCTGTGTCTGCTGATGGGCAAAAATCAGCCCCTCCCTCTTTTCTAAGCATAAAATACAACAGTATTACAAACAGTAATTTGAAGGTGGCAGAGAAATTAATTGCATCACAGCTAGCTGAACAAACTCGAATACTTCCTATCAGGTTTTGAAAAGGGAAAAAAAAGCTTGTAAAAACATTAAAGTACAGTAACTATAGTTAAAAGCACTAAGGACAACTCAGATGAAACAAGTGCTGAGGGAACAAAAATTCCCCACTTTCAGAAAACAGCTTCTGTATTTTCCTTTGGCTGTAGTGATGATAATAATAAACGGCTATATTAATAGGAAGGGATGCAGATAAAGATCCAGAGAGTTAAACACCAGTGTTGCTGAGTCAGCAAAATCACATTCTCTGTGGCAGGAGATCACAAAAATCTACACGGTGCAGTTTGTTTTAAAATCTTCTCATTAACAATTCTCAGCTTTCAGCAACCAGAAGGTCATCGCAAGTTTACCTTAATCCTTTGGCAGAAGCCTTCTGAGGCTCCTGCATTTTTCATCAGCAATTAGCTTTAGGAAAGTCCTATGCCTTAATGTGAAAGGTGGAGGGCGGGGCGGGGTAAGGGGAGGGAACTCAACTAGCTTGGGAATTAGGGGTATGAATCACTAAGAGCTGCCACAGAAAGGTCACACGGCAAGTTTTTGTTTTGTAGCTCTGGTCTCAAATTTCCACGTGTTAACCAATTAGCAAGATCAGCCAGCAAGTGATGGGAACACCTACCACAAACATTGAAAAAGCAAGACAGTCATAGATGGAGAGAGTGCACCCTTAAAGAGACTGAGCTTGCACAGGGCAAACTGAAGATTTTATAAAACTAGAATCTTCTTTTTTGACCTAAAAGTTCAAAAGAAAGTAAAATTTGCACGCACATTAATATGACCCTCTGCACATAAGTTTCGGCTAATTATTGATATACAGGAAATTTAACTGAAACTCAGAAAACTAAGCAGATTCTTCAGTGTTTGTGTTTGGAACTTCTAAAATATGACCCCCTTTCCCAATTTAGGCTCTCTCATCTCATAATATTGTAAGCCACCATTACTTTGGTAAGCATAAACCAAAATTTATCTTCTAGTAAACCACACAGCTAGCTGCTAAGTGCCATTTCACACATGGCCCAATTTTTCTTTCTCTGTCACAGCACTGAAGCCGAATATTGACCTGCCAGAGACTTTAATCTTCTACTATTATATTCATTAACGAAAGATCTAACAAAATATTTGAAAAGTAATTTACATGGTAATCCATTTATTATACTTGCAACCCATTCTAAAAGTTTTAGAGATCAAATTCTCCCAGAAAACTCAAACATCTTTCTCTCATGAATAACCAAACAGTCCTTTTTGCTTTCCTAAAGAACTGAGGGGATCCACACTTTCAACTTGGAAGTTGATGCTTTTTTAAGATCAATTTTATTACTTATCATCACTAAATAAGAACTGAAAATTCTCTTTATTACTTAATAAGACTTAAGACAAAGAACAAATCTCAAAAGAGTTCCCTAAAAGGCATGTTCAATCTACATCAATCACAAACCTGCAGAAACGCTGTTTGTAGAAAACCAACTAATAGAAAGCTACTTTGGTAGGTTATGGACCTGAAAGTGCATCTTCAAGACTAGGCTGAAAGTACTAAAACTAGTCCCTGCCCAACTCGTGTGCAAACTGCATTCTTCGGATAAGAAACACTATTTACTTTGCTGTCACAAACCACTATTCAGGGAGATAAATATTTATGTAGCTGTCCAAAGAGTAACTTCTACTAAAGTTTTCTAGAAACAAGTAATGACTTACCTGACCAATGTCTGATTGTGCAGATCCCATACTGCAATGTTACCATCGCTACAGCAGGAAAAGCACACCTTAGAGTCAGGGCTGATAGCCAGAGCATAGCAGGCAGGGGCTGAGGATGTCAGCTCTGCTTTTATACGAGGAGTTGGTGCTGCCAGGTCCCATATGGATAATGTGCTGGCTTCCCCGCCAACTATTAGGGTGCATCCATCAGGCAGCAATTTACAAGAGCGGATGTAGTTATCTCTGTTCTGTAGAACACAAATCACCTCAGTTATGTTAATACATGCCTGCCAATAATGACCACTAATATGATTCTGACTGCATCCAAGTTTTAAACAGTAGGCTATTTTTTCCGTTACCCAAGTACTGAAGAGGAACCCAGCAGATCCTAAAAGGTTTCAAACGCCTATTTCCAATCACTAACCAGAGACTCCAGCTGCAGAAATTAAACCGCAGACTCCTGTTGCCACACTCTAGTCTGTTTAAAACCTGATGAATGGCAAGTCTACCACCTCATTACACAAAACCAGAGCCAAAAGTAAGCTTGCATTTCTGCAGGCGTACTCCATCCGCTGAGGTGACCAACAACAGAATATTAAAGCAAATGACCTTTCATTTGGCATTTAGGCAACCCCATAAGAAAATGCAGTTCAAGTCCCATGCCTTTAAGGTTTTGGAGCTTTCTTTCAAATATTGTTTTGCATTCACCATTTTAAAGTTAAAATATTAGGTATTCCCATACTAGCTCTGGATTTATGCTGGTTCTTTGTTGTTCAACAAAATTCTTATTGTATACTTCTATTATTAGTTTCACATTTGTGATACTGTTGCTGATAGAGAGGTACTATGGGGGATTTAGAGGTAGAAAACATTTCAACTTTCAGTTATTAGAATCTTGATTTCTTTAAGTGTATTGGATGTCCATTTATGTGTAACAGCTGCCAAATTAACATGGTAACAGTTCTTTATAAAATGGAGGATTAAGATCTGCAAGATAAAACATAACAGTATTCCTACTACTACTACTATTTTTTTTTTTAATCACAGAAAAGCAGATGTAAGTAGTGCAGTGGAAATGTTGACTTAGTTAGCCAGTCATTATTGCTCCGTAACTAAAATGAGGGCAGCTAGGACTGTGCATCCAGATGCATACCTGTCACAGAACAGAATACATATTCAACCATACTTTCACTATTAGACAACTAATGTAAGGGTAGCAGTAAATATAGGGTAAAGGCTAAAAAAAACCAATCCAAACCAAAAAACCTGCCACATTTAATTGGATTAACATTGAGGCTAGAATTATTTTCATTCAGAATATATATTACCGGGCTTTACAAAAATAAGTCTTCTCAGTTAACATTTCACAAACGCCTGTGCTGCTTCTAATATGAGATGCATCTTTTATTGAGTCATTAACTTTTTTGAGTTATCTTTTCAGCTACCTATACTACCACATTCAGTCTCTTTTGTGTCCTGCAGGTGTGTAGACAGTCAACCAAAATGTGCAACTTGTGGATCACCAAAAAAATCATAGCAAGACTTAAACTGACCTTGGTACCTTGTTATATTATTTCATCATATCATATATCCTCCTACAAAAAAACAGGTTGTCATTCCTGGTGTGAGTGAAACACCTAGGAAAATTCTGTGTTGTCCTGCATAACCCAAGCAACGTTCCTTTTAAACTCATGTACAACAACCATCAGCATGATTAGAAGATTGGGGGGGAGAAAGAAAAAAAAATCAGGTACACTCTCCACTCAGAAATCTTATCTAATCTGTTATTTGACCCTTAGTGATGATATTTATCCCTAAATAAACCAGCACTCTTCTCTGCAACTCTACCTGTTATGTGTTAAAAAAAAAAGACAGCTAAATACGTAAGGCAGGAAACAGAACTGCCTGCTATTTCCTTGTAATATGAACAAAATCCAGACAAGGACAGCTATTTCCTTGTCGAGTCTCCAAGGAGAAGCTACCCTCCTGAACAAGTTCCTGTTCACTCACCAGGCAGTCCAGCTGAGAGACAGGGCTCTTGTTGCCAGGCTGGCTGATGTCCCAGACTTTGACGCACCCCTTCCCACCCGTGTACACGTGTCTCGTGGGGTTGCTGATGGTAACTGCACACACAACCTCCCCGTGGTTCAGAGTGTTGATCTGACGGGCATGGCGGGGGATTCCTGGACCAATGAGGGCATCAGGAGGGAAAGGAACTGGCTGCATCTGGCCATCTGCAGTAACGTGGAAGGAGTAAGCTCTTTTTGGGAATGGAAAGAGGAAAAAAAATATATTAAAAAAATCTGCCAGATAAAGTGCTATAATGCAAGAAAAATGCAGTATTTTAAAATTTGTTTTCTTTGCAATCTTTTTCTTATGAAAAATCAGAGCTACAGTGCCAAATAATACAAGCACATGAAACCTCAGAGGGAGACAAGGATTCACAACAGATAATTTCAGCTTGCCTCATCTAAAGTACTCATGCAGTGGGGAAGCACTTAAATTCTACCTTAACAGATCAAGGTCATGGCTTCTACCCCTCAGTCACCTGGATATTCAAAAGACCCTTCAGCCTGGCCACCAGTTTTCAAGTCTCAGCACCACAAGTACTGCAGCAGCAATCCCTCACTGGGCACTACTGTTTCTGACTTCTTCCATGAGGCTTGCACCTGTTGCCTCGCAGCAGCACTAGCCAAAGTTCACCTTTTGCTCCATTTCTGCACCTCATCTTTAACATCAGCACCAGCTGTGCTCTCGTGCTTTTTTCTTCCAGCTAGTAACTAGTGCTTTAAACAGAAAATAGAAAAATGCAGAGCGGCTGCATGCACCTTTCATCAGAAAGCTGATACCATCTCCTTATAATTATGGTTTTGTGAAAAGTATTTTGGAAAAGCTGAACTGCTCAGTTTCCCGAGTATTTTTGGCACTTGTCTAACACCTTTTATTTTCATTCAGTGCATGAATTCAAGTATATGGAAACTGAGGGTTGAGGAAGTGAATCCTAGCACTGGATAAAAGCACTCTTCCTTGGAGAAAGTACACAAAATTATTTCGTCAAGTTCAGTCTAACATTTAAAATCAGCTCTACTCAAAGACCAGGGCTCAAATAGCAGCTAATAAAGGCTTCAGGTGCAGGGGGTTTTAAACAGTAACAGAAATACTACTGCAAAAGTCCGCTTTTTGTTATACTGGTGAGCTCCTTTTTTGCTTCTTCTGTTTCAAGCGCATCCATAGCTCCAGGTTTTGGTGCTCCTGTTAGATTAACAGTGTTCTTCAAGATGCCAAAGTGGATAAAAAGTGACAAGGTACGGGTATTTTAATTTTTTTTTACTAATAAGCTGTCCTGTCCCTAGTGATATGTTTACTTTTCTAATATATTGGTGTGTTCAGAATTGCCCTTTCTTTTCCAAACATACCTTCTTCCTTAAAAATCTTCAGTCACTGTAGCTCAAATATTAGTATTGCATCTCTCTTCCAAGGACCCAACAATAGGTAATTCAATTTAATCTTCTGTTCTGAGCTCTGAGCTAGTATTTTCAAAGTATTTTATTACATGTTTCCAAGTATTGCACAGTTTGAAAAGAAGAAAGAAACAAGATGCCTGGATCTGTAACAGACATCACAAGGCAACTGAATATGCCCAGGAGCAGAGTAGAAGATAATTCTTTGAAACAGAAGTGGAGAAGTGAAGGAAGTCTATAGTTCTTTCATACAGAAGGTTAACAGTGGAAACAGTCCCCCATGCTATATCACAGTTTTCTCAAAAGGGAAGGGTAAAAACTAGTTAACGGTAACTGGTATTAAACAAAGAAGAAATTAATAGTGCATATACGTGCAATTCCTGTATCTCATTAATGTTTCATGGTTGGACACAAGAGTTGAAAGCCTGGTCAAAGAAAATACAGAAATAGAGGACAAGTGAGTACAAAAGATGGCAAATACTTTTTACCATGGAAAAATCAGGAATGGGAAATGTGAAGTTCACGGCCTTACATGTATACAAGATGCACAGTATATCAAATTCTTCACATGGGACCCCTTCTCTTTTTTTTGTATGAGGAACTTTTGTGTGAAATAATGATACAGGCTTAATTAGAAATCTATCACTTCTGTGAAGAAAAGTGAAGACAGGCCTGTTCCAAAATAGTTATTCACTAAACAGAAGAGACACAGGATGGGAGAAAGAGGAGTGGCAATAAGACTGCTTAAGGCGGAACAACTGATCAGGTTCAGGTGCAGAATCCAACTAAAGAGTCCTAGCACTTAAGAGGCTGAAAAGTTGGGTGCCATCCTAGGCTCCAGATCAAAGGCAGTTGCAGAATATTTGTTAGCAACAAGAGTATACAGAACTGCTCAACTTTGAAGTCCCCGCCTACCCTTGCTTTTATCATGAATAGACGAAAAACAATTAAGCAAATATTAAGAATTTTTTTCCAGCATGTTTAAGATGAATAACCCACTTGTATATGACTTTTTTTTAATGGAAGGTTACAGTATAAATGTTCTGTTCAATTCAAAATACCTAAATAATTGGCATTTTGAAATGCTTCTGCACATACACACATCTTCTCAGCTCTTGCTGAGATGGGTGGGAGGAAAACAATAGGAATATTTTTCAAGTGCTTCAAGCATACTGTAGCATTACGATGACTATTCTATTCTGAAAAGCCAGAGACTTACCCAGTATACTTTTAATCATGTAGAATTTTACTAGTATGTCCATGTTTAAAGTGCAGTTATATAGATCATAAGAGTAGTCTCTCTTTTTTATCATCATGAGCAGGCATTTGCTTCCAAGACTGGCTGGGACTCAGGATGACTGAGTTTGATGGCCTAACAAACAGACCAGTGATAGTTTCTCACAAGCCAAGACAGCTTTTTCTACAGTGCAAGTTATCAGCAATCCACTGTGTAAAGAAATGGCTACACATTGCCAAATTGCTTTGCCCCTGCCAAGACAAGCACACAGTAAAGTAAATGTTCCTGTTTGCTTGAAGATGTGTGGCATGTCATGCTAACATCACCACTGTCAGCATAGTTATGTGGTCTAGTAACTTGCATCTACTACGTATTATTGAATAACTTTTCAATACAAATACCTTTTATTTTGAAAAAAAAAAGTTGCACTGTTTGCAAGATTGACACTCCCTAGACAAGGAAAGCTTCTGTCTTCAGAAGAACGCAGTACTAGAGACAGCAGTGCAAATGACTATTTGCAGCTCAGTTGCTGTTGTCCTTGGCTACCTCTGCATCAAGCCACCATGACAGAGAGAGTACTCTGCTACTTCTAGGGAGGACTGTACCCCCAGTGCTACAGCTACAAAGCCGTAGGTGTACTTATATATAATTAAAAAATTACTCAATTTTTAATGCACTAGATATATTCACAGACCTGAATTCTCAAAACTGAGAAGCATTTTGGTTGTCTAGCCTTAAAAGCCAGTATTTAGTAAAATCTGGTAAATTCTTGAATTCTCTAAAGCTCAAGGTATTTCTTGACAGTTACCCCTTGCCCATCCATCTTTCTCTTCAACAAATTGCTATTGACACTTGCATTCCATAGTATTGCAAAAATGTAATGTGCATTTTGTCCTGTTATGATGATCTTTCAGAGCTGGCAGTGTATGCCAAAAAAGGCTGTTCAGCTTCATGACAATCATGGATTTCTGTCTCACTCATAGCACTCTGATTCTAGAAATGACTGGGTTCCACGACTATCCATCTTTGGTCAAAAGACTGTTAGCATTAAAATAGCCCTTCCTCATGTTGGGCTAACAACCACAGTGAACAAAGTTCTTATACACTGCAACGACAAGTTAATCTAAAACAAGCTAAGTACGTATCAATTAATACACACTTGTAATAATTGTGTATTATGAAAAGAACAGTTAAAAGACAAACTTACATGCCTTTTATTTAGGAAAGTATTCTGAGAAACGGTATACTGTCACTTATGATTATAATCTTTCTGAATAACAGAAATATTCTTCTGATCCAAAGATGACAACTCATCTGTGTCAAAGCAGCACCGAGAACCCGCAGAGCTCCCACACATTACAACATAGTAGGTGACACTAATACAACCCAGTTTCTCAGCTTAAATCCAGTAATTATGGCCCTCCAATTTCCATATAAATATCTAATGTAAGTATCAGTTGACATGCTGAGCAGAGTTCAGAACAGTTTTCTCCTATTCAAGGAAATATTTAACAGAACAGGTTTCCACACTGCTCAAGAACGTATCAAATCAACTAAACTATCTGCCTGCTACTCTAAGTATTCAGATTTACATAATGCATGCAATTCCTGCCTACTTAAAGTAAGATGCCTTAAAAATAAATAAATAAGCCTCCATATCATTCCCCTTAATCAAACAGAATTCCTTATCTATCACAAAAATACACCCCCCACACACAAAACACAAAAGCAGAAAGTTCCTTCTACTGATGACTGCATTTTACTTTCAGCTCTTTGTACTCCAGCTTATATTCAGTTGTGGTCATCACAACAAACAGTGAATATATGAGTATAGTGTTTCATTATATAGGACAAAATTCCAAGAAATAAGGATAAAGGTATTTGTATAGAAATAACAAAATCTTTAACTTCATACATGCAATCAAGTAATTCTATCCACAGGTAGAGAGGGAGGACGGGGGATAGGGACAGGGGACAACCTGTTATTCTAGAATATAGTAAAATTAACCTTCCTTTAAAATATCCCTCACTGTACACTCACTGAACAAGTGTGAAGTATAAAATTGAAATCTTTTTAATTTTTGCCTTGATCAATTCCAGAACCGTATATTTATTTTCAAAAGCACAAAGAAAAGTTGGCTTATAACTAGAAGCTGAAAGAGTTAACTTTTACCACGTGAAATTTCCCTTTCCTACTAAAATGAGAAACATATATTATAAGCTCTTTCTGGTGTCTGTGTGTAACACCTCATGCTTCAACCCACATTTATAAAAACCCACATTTATAAAAAACACTGAGAAATGTATTTGTCCTCAATGTTATCATTAATTCACAATTTTGGAGAGCAGGGAACCAATACTGTGGACATAAATCTTACCACTGAGCTTGAAAATCTGTGTTCAGTGCGTGATGCAACTATTAGAAGGTATGGTTTACATCAAGGAGAAATCCGCAAGAACATTAAATTAGCAGATGTAGAAGACTAGAAGTTAAATAAGCACTTTGCTAGAAAGACTATACAAAACGCAAAACATGATCACAGCAACACACCAAGAACTTACAGTACAGGGCATAGTTGAATGTATCAAAACAACAAGGTGCAAGACTCAGGTACTGATTTCACACCCTCAACTTAAAACAAACATATTTATTGACTGGGTGACGGCTCAAGGCAATTTGTAAGGAAAACCACCCCACCCTTCTGAAAAAAAATCAACCCAAAACCAAAAGAGCTGCTAAGAAAAGAATAATCTACTGATGGGAATCAACTTTGAAACCAAGAATATAAAAACTAATTTTTATGCACATTCATACACGTATGTACATATCAAGTCCTTGTCCATAAAATTAATTACTGAACTACAAACAACTGAAGAGAGAAAACAACTAATATGAGAACACATGTGTGTACCCCAAAAATATCAAATATGAGAAACCTGAGACTAAAAAGCCTCATAGGAAATAATTTAAAAAAAAAAACAAAACACAAAAACCACCACCACCACCAAAACAACCTGCTATCAAATGCTAAAACTAGCTTATTTATATTATTAAGAAATTGCTGAAGACACTTTTGACTTTCTAGATTGCTACCCAATTTCTCAAGTATATCTGTACCACTGCTACCAAGGTTAGACACTGCATGGAGGAAAACTGAAGGATTCACATTCAGGAACATAAAAAAATGGTAGTAAAGACTTATATTTAAACAAGTAGCAAAACAAGTCAAGCAAAAGAAAAGCTTTGCAGACAACAGCCCCTTGATAAAAACAGATAAACAAGTAGGAGTGGATTCTTAAGAGGCTACTATTTTTTTCTAACAACCTAGTCACTAACAGATCTGGGAATACACAGGGGTTAAAGAAAACTATCACAAATGTCATGCCTTTGGAAAGGAAGGAACTTAATTTTCTCTTGGAAGCAAGGCTGGGTGAAAAAAAACAACAACAAAACAGTCTCAGTATAACCATTGATAAAAATGTGTAGCCGTGAGCATACACATATGGCTAGGGATTCAATAGTTCAATTTGAAAATTGTCTGCACCACTTGCAACTCAGACTAAAACTCCACATATCATAAAACAAATTCTTACCTTAATTAAAGTCTAAGAAAAGGCAGATTCTGAAAGCAAACCAGGAGTAATACACTAGTTTGCATGATCATATAACCCACGTACTTTGTAGAGAAAATATAGGAGAGTTGCCTAATGTAGGTAAGAGATACTCAAAGATACTGCAGGTAGCCAGTGGTGTCTAGCTAGCTGCAGCAAATCAAGATTAAAACAAGAGCTTGTTCTAAAACTGCCAGTGGAAAGATAGCAGATCAGTTAAGTTTATGGAATTTTAGCTTTGCCTCACTTACAATAAAGATAAGCAAAGAAGTCACTTCAGAGGAAATGACTGACTCAGTCCAAGTAACGTGACCACAGAAAAACCATTACAGAACACATCAAATGAAGTGGAGTGTAAGGAGTATGTATCAAACTAGGTAATCTACAAAGCAGTGTGAATAAAGTACTGAAAGCAGTAATTAAAAATATTTTTGAAAAGAAAACCACACCAACTGTAATCCAGCTATGAAATACCAGGACACAAAGTATGGTACCATACATGCACTGCTTTTGTGTCTTGAGTAGTGGAACAACTAGAACTCATCCACAGAAAATTTCTGACTGAACAAAAATCGGTTTTCATAGCTTATAATATAAAATATTGACAGGCATTACTAATGGAATAAGTCATTGAAAGCTTATGAATATCCTTCCAGTACCTGAAGGGGCCCTACAGGAGAAATGGGGAGGGACTTTTTATGGGGGAGTGTAGTGATAGGATGAGGAGTAACGGTTTTAAACTGAAAGAGGGGAGATTTAGATTAGATATTAGGAAGACATTATTTACTGTGAGGGTGGTGAGACACTGAAAAATGTTGCCTAGAGAAGTTGTGGATGCCCCTTCCCTGAAGCATTCAAGGCCAGGCTGGATGGGACTTTGAGCAACCTGGTCTAGTGCCCATGGCAGGGGGGTTGGAACTCAATGATCTTTAAGGTCCCTTCCAACTCTACCCATTCTATTATTCTATGATAATATACTTGTTTAAAAGTAAAAACTTAGAACCACTGGATTATATGCTCTCCAAAAACATTTTATAAGTATGCCAAGTTCTACTTAAGTCAGCAAGAATGAGTCTGACCCTTAATAAAAGAATGTTGTGAGAACAAAGCCTGTTCCTTACTGTACTAAATTTAAATACACCACCATCTGATACATACCACCAACTCACTGAGCCCTCACACTTCAGTAATCTTGTCAACATACCACCAACTTATCTTTAAGTAAATCCAAGATTTAACAGATTTCTCACACTGCCAACAGATAGCTAAATTTGTTCTCAGAAGCACAGTGGATAACAAGGAAAATACATTCAGGATGGCTTTCCTAATCTAAGTCTCCTGCTTTCCTACTTTTGTTACAGAAAAAGAGTAGAAGGAAGTACACACGTTTTTTTGCTTGTAATCTGCTGCACTTTAAAGGATGTTTGCGTAACTGACATTACAAGATATCACTAGCCACTAACAGGAGTTCAAAATGAAAGCAAACAGAAATACGTTTGTACATAACTTTCACCACAGTGTGTCATATAACTCAGACAATATCCTAAAAGTAAGTTTCTAATTTTTTCCGAAGCTGCAAAAGAAGAAACTAAACCATGATAGATTGTTAAAGAAGACAGTATGTACCCAGCACTTCTGAACAGCAAAGTGAGTTTCAAAATAATGTTAAGCACCTAGATAGACAGAAACTACTCTAACTGCAACTTTCTGTTGAAAGAGAAGACAGAACTGTATGCCAAGCATGAGGGGACAAAGAATAGGTTCTAACAGAGCGTCAAACCCCTGTTATATTTCTCTCTGCCCAATCTCTCCAGGAAAACAGATTAGTCAAATTTGCAGTCCATGCTCTGTTTGTACTTGCACAGACCAGTTGTCCAGAAATACTTAAAAAAATAATCACATTTTTTAAGAGGTCATACATGCTCATGACTCAACTGCACATGGGTAAACTCAGTCTCAGCAGTCTACCAACACCAAGTACTGGAAAATTTGATATATGTTGTTTTGGTGAATTTATTTTATTGTAACATCAATAAGACGCAGCATCACAGAGGTGTTTTATTTAATCACCTCTTCAGCAATAATTAAAACTTCCTTTAAGTAAAAAGAACCTGTTGTGAAAGTTATCCTACATCTACGCCCCACATGCTGTGTGCAACTGCTTCATCATCCTTTTGCTCCCCAGCTGCACATTTACACAAACATTTTAAAGAGCTTGCTCCATTATGCAAGGTGTGCAACAATTGCTAAAGTAACTGCTTCAGATGCCTACTGTGACCAACAGTTGCAGACTCTCAGGCCTGACAAAACAAGTGCCAGAAAAGGAGCCTGTGAGTTTGCACTCCACATTTATGCTCAGTATAGTACAAAGTTTAGTTTCAATATGTTTTTATCTTAACACATTTTACCACTGTCTACCAGTTTGTAGTCCCCTTACCTTCCCTCAGAAAGGAGGAAACCAGGCACTACCTGCTTTGGAATGCTTGTTCACAAGATAACTTTATTCTCTCTAGATATTGCAGATGTTACCAAAATGTTAAAAGTTACTTACGGTTTTCCCCCAGGAATCCCTGCTAGATTTGGAGGGATTCCAGGTACTCTCATGTGAGGAGGAGGATCAAACCCAACCTGACAATGAAAAATGAGTTAATCTTACACTTGCAATTTCTTATTTGGCAAGCCCCTTTTCTTCACCCCCATGATATTACGCGATTAAACAAAATGTGGCTTTTACCCACAGTATTAGTGAGGGGGGGAAATAAGATGCTTTCCCTAGGCGTGCTTCTGCTAGAAGTATCCGTATGTGAATAGAAAACCAATAATGTAGATCATACTTTCACACCACTGAGCGTAACACAAATACCATGGTGTTAGCACAGAGCTAGCCCTGTAATTAGAGTCCATGGTGTGTCAGCATGTAGCCACACCAGCGCTCTTTAGCTCTGCGACAACCAGCATGTACCCATGGCAGGCACAGCATGGTGCTGGAAAGCAGCTTCTGGCCCCAGCTAGAATCTCCACATGGCTTCGTGCTGCACTGTGTGGGCACATCATCCAAGAGATCTCTCATGGAGCTTCGCCCCACAATACAGAGAAATTTGTCTACAGCTAAAACATACTATACTCTCTTTACATACCGCAATTCCATTAAACTTATATCCCAAATAAATAAGTACATGAAACAATCTAAAGAGACATTCTGGACTAAACAGACTTAGTTTTTCTTCTGAATGCTACAACTGAGTTAAAATTCTTACTGCTTCAAGGAGCACATATGCTATGCAGAATTTCCACTTTGTCACATAAAAGTCCTGTTTACCAGTTTGAAAAAATTAGCCATATCTGTAATAATGAGACAATTAGAAGGTTAAGTCCAATCTTGCGAATTCATAGGTAGGTAAGTCAGTCTGTGCATAAAACTGCCATCAAGCTTGCATTTGCACAATCAGGCCCCTAGGTTATTCTGCTCAACAGCAGCTATAACTACTATGCTCCATTTAATTACGACAACCACAATAGCAACTATTCTTAACACACCTTACCACTGAGTTCAAACTTTTCATGTTGATTTTCACAAAAAAAAAAATTAATACAGGGACAGAGACACAGATAAAAAGATTTCTACATGCTTCAAGATTAATTTGGTATGTCTGTACGGAACACAGATCTGGCTGAGCAAGAGAAAAGCAAATGCCCATAACACCAATGAAATGCTTTGTAGCTATGAAAACTACATTTCCATTTAAAGCATAAAATAATTTTTGGCTTTTTTTAATCAGTCAAAGCACTGATGAAGGTGAAGAAAAAAGGAAATGTACATAAGTACACCAAGATTCTTTGTTTTCAAGGTGCAAATTTGTTTCTCCAGCCACGCAGCAAAGTGAAACACATAGTGAAGCTGTCAAGCCTCTGGCGCTGTTATAACTTGGGAATTCAAGTGCTAAATGAAGCATGTAGCTCTTCTCAGTGAACCACAACTCACATGACTGAGATTGCATGCAACGTATGGCCTACCATAGGAGATCTTCCATAGGCAACCACAGCAGCTGCAGCAGCAGCAGCACTCATCTGGGGTGACATATTGTGAAGACTGGCATAGGCTGCCCCTGGACTGGTTAATTCTCCATTCATGCCAGCATGAGGTACCATGCCAAATGGAGCAGGGTATGGTCCTGGTACTGCCAATGGTGTCCGCAAACCTGCAGCTACAAAATAATGAAATCAAGTAGTTTTATTTATATATTCCTGCATAGAGGGATGAAAACACCGCTACAATGCCTAACCTTCCCCCCTCACACACATACGCTGCCAGGAAACATTGCCATAATTTATCGCTACCACCACTTCTTCTCTTTTAGTGTAAATAAGATCTACTGAAGTCTGAACTTGCTGATTACTTCTAACAATCACTTCTAGCATTACCTATTTCCATTTCTGTATTATTTCCTGTTTACATTAATCTCCCCTTTGCCAAATTAAGCAGTAAAGCTGACAGACATGGTTTACACAGCTCATGTCTGAGGCAACTGCGCTATACCAGCCTGAATAGCAAAAGTAAACTTTCCCCTGCATTTGTCAAGATTTATACTGCAGCAAATATTAGTAGACTCAAAGAGCTGGAGAAGATATTGCTTTCAGAATAAGTACCAGAAACTTCTGAGAAGTCTTTTTATATTGCATTCAGCCTCTGGATTATTTGCGAAAAAAAGATAAAGACAAAAGTAAACAAAAAAGGATGAGAGATAGAAAGATATTCAAACTCTTGATAATCCAAACATCTGCTTCTCATCAAGCCTTCTCTTGATATCAAAAGCAAAGCAATACATTTAGTTAACATTCACACAGAACTACATACGTAAAAAAAGATTAATTTTGGAACCATAAAAATACATGAGGTAATGTATTACCAGCTTGGTTAACCAGAGGGTCCATTGTTGGAGGTTTGCCAAGGCCTGGACGAAGTCCTGGAGTTGCACTAGTGCCTGGGGTTGGCACATCACTTCGAGGAGTTGGTGTGCTGGATTTCAGAACAGGCGTGCTGGCTTTTTCATGCTGGTATCATTAAACAAATTAAATGAGTATTATTTTTAATCCAAGCCATATTATACAATTTATCACAACAGCAGCTGGGATGCTGGGCACCTACTACCTAGTCCCTCAGCCAATTTTCATAAATCCACGCAATGCTGACAACATTGACTTGTGAGAGAGAAATGCTGACCTTATTGATTGCTGACAAAATTAAAATAAAAGAAACACAGAAAGTTATTTTTTCTTCTTCCACTGGCATGAAAAAAAAAATGCCTGAGCTAATATTTTTTTAAGACAATACAGTATCCATCACCAAATTATTTTAGCTTGAATTCATTACTGTCTTGGATTCATTACTTATTGTTGGACCCAGCAAATCTAAGTACAAAGTACCACTGTAGTTGATCAAAAAATTGTGACACGAAAGCTAACAAGAGTCTGATCCAATTATTACTGATACTGCAGGAGAAGTTTTCAATAGTAACAGCTTATTTAGAAAAGTTTAACAAAAGCCTGGAGAATGCCTTTGTGTCTATGTACAGATTGTGATAAACCATAAGCTATTGCTCCAGAAAAGAGTTTAACAATGCTTAAGTGATTCTTATACTTTTTCATAAATTTGCAGCTCATTTGACAGAAATGTAGGAAATACAAGAAATCAAAATGAATCAGAAAATGTTGCTGAGGAGGAAAGATGAAAAATGCTATAAAGGTCTGGAAAAACAGTCTATTTCGGGTTCAAACGTTTAAAGCCATGTACTTTCTGCCATCAGTAGCTGGTGACTTGCAGACTTTGCAAGAACAAACTTAAGTCTTTGAAAGAACATTTATCTGGACAACAGATTGGTACCTACCAGACTCATTTCTTTGGATTTGAGGGAAGTGGAACTTCCTGAAGAGGCTGTAGATGCCGGACTGCTAGAGGCATCTTTCTTCAGCAAGCGGGTTTTATCTATACCATTTTCACGTGGTGAATGAGTGGGGCTTGCCCTTGGGGAGGAAGGATCCTAAAATAATAGGAAGGGAAGAACAGCACAGAGCTGTGTCATGCGTTGGTACACAAACACCTTTAAGGAGTCTATGGGAAAAAACTAGAAGAATTTAAGCAGCAAGTTCAAATGACAAGACTTTTTGTTATCTGTATAGAATAAAAGTTGAAATCCCTTTATCAGTTTAGAAACATAAGTAAGTTCATATCATAAGCAACATGGTTTTGTTTTATTTTACATTACATGTAATCAGAAAGTTTCCAAGCATAGAGTTTGCAATCTAAGTATACCTAAGTACAAACTATGTCACATGGTAACAGCAAGAAAGACCAACAGTAACCAGGTTTCAGTAACCAGGAAGCAATATGCGGTTGGATTTACATAAACCAGTCAATTTCCTACATTATTGCTATGTCAAAGAATAGTAAAGTTTGCTCCGTTTTTTCCATGTACGTTCTCCATACACTGCTAGCGACAACAAGCATTTCAATAATCTCTTTTAGGCCATACAAACCTTCCTTATCGCTATCTTCAGAAGAAGCGACAAAGATGCATGCTTTATATGCAATAATATGTCACCTATTTCTAAATACCATCTGCAATTGCCTCACTACTTAAATCTACAGAAAAAACTCAAGTCACCTCTCAGGTGATCATCTTTCTCTTGTCCAGAGGCGCTCTCTGCATTTACTTTAACCTGAGATAGCCAGCCCAGTAAGCTATAATGCCATAAGAGCTCTGCAGGTTCTCCATGTTCCTTTGGCTCATGAGAATAGCAGCAGGGAGGAAGCAGTCCTCACAAGAGGGCACTCAGTCTACTGATTGATTATCGAGCACTTTCACTGTAGGGCTTCTGAAAGGATTATTGTAATTCCTAGTTGGATACCCATTTTTCTACTTGGCTGACATAATTTGGGCATTTGGAGCTGCTGAAGACACTTCTTCTCTGTCAGCTTCTCTCCCTCTGCTTTTCACAGAGCAGAAGAATCTCGCTACCCTATTCAGGCTTAATTCTCTTTATTGTATGAGATAAAAGATGAAGGAAAGGGAAGGCCTGTCCCTTTACCTTGGTGCCACTGCCAAATCTCTGCCCTGGAGAAAAGAAGTGGCTACAATTTATGAAAAAATTTGTGGACTGACTGATTTCATTCTGACTTTAGCTGACTTCATTCTAAAACCCAAACATTTCTGGGAAATGCTGTCTTTAATTTAGGACAGTACAATACCAAAATGCTTTTAATAATACTCCTACTATTAAATACAAGGTTAATTACTGTCTTCCTTTTTCATTTGAAGACAGTAGTTTGAAACCCTCAGCCCTCCACCTGCATCTCACCACAACTCTCTCCACTACAGAGCAGCTGTGTCACATCAGAACATAACCACAGAGAGAACAGATGTGGACAAAGCAGTAAATGAAAAAGCTAAGAGGGCAACCACAGAAAGCTCAGAGGAAGACATAGTAACTGCAGTACTAACAAAAAGGAGATGGTGTGAATATTTTAACATATCCACACAGAGGATTCTTTTTCCTCTAGCATCTAAATGCACTTTTCCTTTAACCTTTGGGCAAACGTCAATACTACAAAAATGAAAAAAGTTACCTCATTGGATACATCTACAACCAAGTTATCGTCACTCTTGTCCCCATCACTGTCCTATTAAAAATAAATAAATATAGTGTTCATTTCAATTAGTACATTAAAAGCCCAGAGAGAAAGACTACACATCTACTCAGACATTTTTTGTTTTTCCTACACAAAAAGCAAGCAGCCTTTCATTACTTATTAGTAATAGGGTAAACAATAAAAACAAGAACACACCTTATTTCTGCTTCAACAATAAAACTCAAATAAGGTAGAGGTCTCACCATCAGTGCAAGATGGTCCAAAATCCCTCATTACCAACATAAACAGTGTTATCACTGCTCCTGAAAGAGAAACTCATTCTGTTCATACTCTGATCTTACATGTTAATCTTACGGAAATTACCACTTGTGCATACCTAAAAAAACCAACAAATCACAGAAAACTTGAGTCTTTTGACATTTGTTTCATGAATCAACTTCCTCAAAGCAACAGCACAATTTTTTCTCCTTTTCCAGAAAGGAAAGTTTTGAAATGGAAAGTTCTGGGGAAGAAAAAGCTTCAAAAATGCCATGGCATTTCAACATTTCTACCTAATAAATCCAAAATACTTTGACATTCCCAAACTGAAATGTTTTATTGTGGCTTATCAAGCTGCATTTTGACTATTTTACATTAATCTGTGTTCACCTGAGCTGCGCTAATGCCTCATGTTAGCTGTTACTCAAGTGTCTTCTGGTCCCTACCTCCAAAATGGGCTGGGATGCCCCAGTAGACACATCCTATGATAAACTGTGTGTAGCGTTTTCCACAGTGCACCATGGTGGTTCAACCAGAAGATTAGTCTTGACTCAAAAACAAAAAACCAAACCAAAACAAAAAATATGAACAAAATATCAAGTGAATGACAACACTTAAAATTTTCATGTGGGTTTTTTCAAATAACAATACTTTCAGGCAAAAACTTTCTAGGCAAACAAATCAGACATAGAAGATTGGTCAAACTGTCCCCCAACTCTTTGTTTCAAAATGTTTGGGCTATCACACTATACACTGGCAGACAGAAAGTAAAACATTGGTTCCTTCCACTCACTCCAGGCCATAGTGTTTAAAAAAAAACAAACAAAAAAACCCCACCACAAAAAAACCCTAAGAAAACCCAACAGATAGTTTCAACCCTTACTTTCTTCTGTAGCAGCTGAATATTGCTGCAAGAAATACCACAAACATAGCTGGGACCCAAGAGTGTCACTGAAGACAGAATGGTGGCTCTATTTTGCCACTCAGGAAGCTGTCCAACCAAAGGGTGCAAAAGAAGAAGGAATGGTAAAGCTTCAGCCCCAGTAGTCTGCCACCTCTTGAAAAGTATGAAGCATCCTGAAGGCAAGAATAGGTTAGAACACATTTGAGCATATGGGAGCACAGTAGGTGGGACACTTGTTCACCAGAAATACTGCCCTTGAGGAGGGCAAAAAATCTGCCAAGCAATGATTAAGTGCGCTCCACCGACTTTGTCATCTTGAGAAATAGAAATTTGCTGGGACTATGAAAGGCATCTCCTATTGGAACTGTTAATATATATCAGAATATATATATACACACACTTGGAATACATATAAGAAGATTGTCCTCACTAACAAACCAACAGGTTGAAACTATACAATTAATCAGAAGTCAAAAAGAAGAAAAAATAAAGTTGCATTTTGCATCCTATTTCCAAAAGCAACAATTCTTACAACTCATTTATCTCCCTTCTGACAAAAAGCAGTACTTCTTTATCCCTACAATGGTGCCATGTAAAATGAACTCAAAGTCAGCAGCTCTGTGTTTGCAGAACCATGGAACCATTAAAAAGAAAGATCTTCTTCCAGATTAGAGTAAACTTGGGACTTCCAAATATCCTTGTTTCCTCAATTCTTTATTTTGATGCTTCCTTTATCTGTAAAAGCCATTTCAAGCAAACAGCACTGCACATTTAAAATGTGGATTAAGACAAACTGCTTCTACAGTGCAATAATATACTTTCAATTTCTTCCCAGTAGAAAATATAGGAAAAACAGGCAAGTTAAGCTTTTCTTCCCCCCCCCTTTTTTTTTTAATATCAAATGTAGCTTAAGAAACACTCTTCAAATATTTAAAATGAACAATGCCCACAGAATATCAAATCCTCAAAATTGAGGGACTAACATGGGGAAGTTTGCCAAACACTTTTGTAATCAAAACAAGATTATTAAAAGGTGGTAGAAAAACAAGTTGCAAAACCGTAACAGTAGTACAACACCACAATGTGCAGAAAGGGGAAAGTAACCCCATTAACTGTGAGTAGCCCCAGGGATATCCAATAAATGCTCAGAGATATTCTGGGTCCAGGTGGAGAGAAATTACCCTACCAAATACTGAGGAAATAAAATGACACCTGATTTTCTCTTGGGTTTCAGTAACGAGGAAGTAATATGAGATTGGATTTATATAAAGCAGACAACTTCCTACATTATTGCTATGTCAAAGAATAGTATCTTCTGTTAAATTTAAGTTCTGCTTTTCAGTACTCTTTCACACCAGTCCTAGTCTCTAAAGCATGTTCAAGTATCATCCTGTGATGTGGCTGAGCACTTAGACTTGCAGTTGAAAGCCTATGTGAACCTCCTGTGGTTCATGTAGGGCACACTGTTGTACTGAAGTGCCTCTTTGAAACCAAGCAACAAGCAAGCTAGACAAAACTCAGAACACAACCTATGAATTTCTTATGTTTCAGTTTGCTTTCTGCTGAAACTGCCATATCAACCAAAAGCAAAATTTAGTAAGTTGGTACAGCTTCATAACATATGCAATTTGCAATGGTGATTATTACTCAGTGACATACATAATAACTGGAAAAATATACTTTATAGCTTTAGAAAAATATATTAAAATGCCCCAAACCAACAAAATACTCCATTTCAGACAAACCGAAAGTTTTTAGAGCACTGCAGAAAGGATTTCTTGCTCAAACTCTGAGAAATTTCCCAGAATACTTGCGAATCCCAAATAGCTACTCCTGGCTCATTACTCCCTGTTGAGGAGTATTACTTGACAATAGCCCAAACTATTGAATCACTGCTCTTCCCACAATATGAATAATGATCTCTCTGGCACATATATTCATGCACTATATCAGCCATAGGAAACACATTGCCTTGTTCTTCACAGCTCTTTTACTCCTCATGTAAGCATGGTATGTGCAAATAAATTAATCATTTCTTAGACACAGATTTGCTTACATAGTGGCTGGAATCCTTATCATCCACCTTTCTCTTTTTGATGTCATTGGTATATTCAGGGCCATTCCTGCGTTTATCTGTGCTTCGCAGACTGTCTGGGACCAACAGAGAATTACTCTGTGAAGACAAAAAACAAGGTCAATCAAAAATTCCTTTCAAGATTCCTTCACATATGCTTAAAAACTCAAATTGGATGTGATCGATGCTTAAGAAATGTGATACCTACATAGTCTTTCATTCCATTTAATTCAACTCAAAGTCCTCCAGGCAAACATGTAGAGCTTCATGCATTCTAAAAAGCTTGGCTTTTCATTGTTCAGCTTATCAAAAGTTTAGTTCACTTGTCAATCACCATCTATTTAACTACTTAATTCAACTGAATTTATTGTTTAGGAGAAGCAGGTTTGTTGTTTATTCATGAGCAGGTAATAATGGTTTTTTTTGGTTTTTTGTTGTTGTTGGTTTTTTTAATATACAGATCTTATATACTGAATATATAATATTACTTACTAAATAAAATCTGATTGCTCACTTCTAGACCATCATAAATAGATAAGGCTTTGGTATGTTTACACCTGCAGGCATGGATATGGCAACTTGCCTTTCACCCTTAAAATAACAGAAATTTACCAATGGTTAAGCAGCACTCATTTGTTAGCTGCCGTAACTCCGTAAACTCCAATTGGATGCCTTCGACAAATGTATTGCAAACAAAGATCAAATATTTTTACTTCCAGCATAACTTTCACTACTAGTGTGAAATTACAGCTAAAGTGTTGTTTAATCAGACTGGGTCTGAAAAACTGAGGCCAACACACACACACAAAAGACAAAGCAGACTAATCTTTTCCTCAAACTAGGCGGACTGCTTTCATTCATGCTAAGTTATGCTAAGTACAAACTGTTGACCCAAAGAGAAAGGCATTTTAGACATTTTTCAGTCACATGACAATTTGACATGCCTGCGATTCCCATCTCCATCTCCGTTCCAGCTAAAGCATTAAAACGAGTTACAATGAGTTCTTTTAAGTGCAGGATTAGCATATGCAAGAGGGCAATTTGTTCAGTGATGTGTTAATGCAGTGAACAATACTGAACGAGTTGAGAAAAAAATCTCCTTTGACAAAGACCTGGTAAGCCTAGCTCCTAAAAGCCAAGTACATGCTTACATAAAAATATGCTCACATAAATATACAAGCAAATACATATTTACACATATCTCTCAAGAGAAAAGCCTTATACCGACATATATACTGTAAGTGGAAGCCTTCAAAGGAAAAGCTTAGATCTACCCAAGAGACAGAGATATTTACTCTTAAAATGTTATAATCATATACTACCAGCAGTGAACCGTGCACTAGCTATTGGCTTCCCCTTTAAAATCTGAGGACACCACTGTAGTTTTGCTTAGACATTAACGTTTAGTCCCAAGGAGAAGGAAAACAAAACAGGCTACATAAGGCAATCTAAATCCTCTTTTTCCTACTTCAGAAGCTGCACTTTAAAGCCAACTCTAAGCTCTTTTATTCATGACTATTCAAGCTAAACAAATGCCAAGGGGCTTACATAAAGCATATAGGAGGGTGTAATGAAATTCAGTATAAAGAAGCTCAGAATAATGTCTTTACTGCAATGTTTTGCAGCTAAAAGGTGGGCTCGTTGGATCACTGAACTAATTGCCTTGACAAATACAGTCTGAATTTAACCCCTCATCTCCTCCCAGATGCACACTAACTCAGAGATTCACTAGTTTGAAAAACATTAGAACTTATCTTCAACATTTTAATCTCAAATCCATCATGTCTGTAGTGGTAAAAACATCTTAAGAAGCAAGCTGTCACTTCAAACTTGACCATAGATTTGAGTACTCCAAATATATTTTCTTAAGGAGGAAAGTCTTTTAGTTACGAGCTACTTCCTGTAACAAAAATAATATTAAAAAATCTATTTTACTTTTGAAGAGCTTAGAATAAAATAATGAAGACAAGTGTAGTAAAGTGAAGAAACTCAGTTTCTCATTTTATACTGACAAAATTAAGTGTGAATAACAGAAAAGTGGCAGAGGGGCAGCAGCTGGAATAAAATTGAGCATTTGAAGTTACTACACAGAAGCATACGGAACAGCCTGCAAATTTTGGCATCAAATATGTGTAACTACAATGGCTGGTATTTTTTTCAGGTTTGATGTAAAGCCTAGCTAGACAATGCAGACAATATTATTGTGGAATATCCTGTGTATACTCTTTGTCTTGTGGAATTTCAATACTGTAAAACATACCTAGGAACTCGTAGGTGTATCTAGCTCGCACTGTCTCCTAAATGCCAAATTAAGATTATTAGATTTGATTTTTCCTCAAAAGACTGGTGGTTTACTTATCACATAAACATATAACGATGACCTACAGTCCTCACAAGCCTATTCTGCAAAATGTCTCCCCTATGGTCACATTTACAGTGCCCTTCTCTAACTACCATATTCATTTAAAGCACTGCTCTACGGAATCATGGCATTCACGCTACAAGATCTTGTAGAACAGCTTATTTCTCAATAGCTGTACTGGCAGATGCAAGTAAGACCGTGCTGTTGCTCTGGCAAAAATTACCGCTAAACTCAATAATTAAAAATTACTATTTTGTTTGCTTTAGGAATACAAGGAAGTTCCAACACTTGAGTCCAAAATCAGGTAAAATATAACTTTTGATTAAAAAATAACTTGTTACTATAAGCTACTACCACAATTAAAATTACCAATTGTGTAAGATTTCATTCAACAATATGAAAACATGCATCTGTTTAAGTACTGCATATGGTATATCCAGAACACTAAAGTAACAAAGGAAATAAATGAAAATAACAACAACTGGGAAAGGGATAACCACATAAAGTTTGGGCTATTAACATCTCTTATCAACGTAATGTTAAGATTCAGGGAACAGTGAGGAGAGCCATCTTTCCTCATTTCAGCTCTGGCAGAGGTTGTATTTCTATATGTTCACTATCAAGCATAGGGCAGCTAGGAGACAGTAGCAACAGCTTCACTAAAATCTATTTTGTTCTTCTACCAGGCCTACTAACGTCTGACTTCTTTTCAAGAGCAGGACAAGCATTTTTATTATATTAATATAATTTTTTAATAATGTTACAGAATTTTTCAGTTGAAGTTGATTTTCAAAAATCATCAGTTTTTACAAAAAGGGCAAAAAAGATATTTTTTTGTCCTAATTTTAATAGACACGTAATTGAGGATAATCCTTGCTTTCATACTAGCAATTCAATTTATTAGGGATTACCAGTGCAGCATCTGTAAATCATGAATCTCAGATCAGAACAAAATCAATTCCATGTAAATGTTTTATTTCTCTTCAGATAATTCAAAATTATTCACATGATTCCCTTTTCTTCAAATAAATTCCAAAAGAAGAAAAGTCTAATGTAGCACTACATTCTCTAAAAGCTACCAGACTGCATAAGGGCTGTAAAATAGGCAACTTGGGATCCTAAAGCAACTTTGCTGCCAGTAAATGTTAAACACTGAAACCACCAGCAGCAAATCTGAAACGAAAACCTAGTCACAGAGAGAAGGTAGAATCTCTATTAAAAATATAACGCACATTATTCAAACGCACCTCTTCAACTGCCATGCCGCTCCCCATAGGAACTACTTCCAAACCACAAGTATGTACAGGTACAGGCTGAGAGCCCACACTATCTCATTTAGCCCCAGTTATCATACAGAACTGACAATTAATTTTATGCTAATCATTACAGCAATTAAATAACAGTATTTACATCACATCTGTGCTCATGGTTCAACCACACCTGGTCCCAATTAAGATCTTCTCTAGTGCTGGGCTCCTTATCCCTCCCACTCCCCTTTCCTCCAAACACACATACTCTCAACTCTTGCTCCGTGCTTGGCCATTCACTGGCTCTCTGTATATCCCAACTTGCTCTCTGTATATCCCAACCTGTGATTACAGCCCGTTACTATAGCTGACAACTTGCACTTGCTCAAATCACCAGCCCAGGGCTGCTGTGTTTATTTAACCATTACACTGGCCCTGTGCTGCTGCACCACACACAACTGCTATCTACAGATATCCATATGTAGACAGGAGCACAGTTGAGCAGGCAAAATAGAATCTTGTCTAACACCTACATGTCAACAACCCAAAATTTGACTTAGGTTTTGGTTTAAATTACCAGTGATGGAAAGCTACTGACTTCACCCTCCTTTTACCCACCATTTTAAGTTATATTTATACTAGCATGTTCATACTAGGAACAAGGAGATCTAGAAGCCTAAAGGAATTTTAATCACTTCATTTCAGTATTTTCTAGCGAATGTTTGTCAGAATCCATAAAAATTTATACCCGACCACCCAAATCCTTGTCCTTCATGCTGCATTGTATCAGCTACAGATTAAACTGAAACGCATTATCTCACAGCTGTTCTGTGTGTCACACCTGCTAAAGGTAATTTGTGGTTTGCATCCATAAAGACCATAAGATTTGACTTATTTTTAAGTTGACAGAGCAAATAAAAATAAAAGATATAACTGATTAAATAAATTCAAGCTTCTAGATTACAAGCTATGTAATGGAAAATTATACTTCCTTCACAAAGGCCAAGAAGCATATATGTGGTACACGGACTTTCATGTAAGTCCTTTTATCATCTCCCTCCCCCATTGAAAAGAATTAAAACACAAAACAGCTTGCATTTAATATCAACTACAAAGTAACATTCAGTTGTGCATGCCCCGTTCCTCCAAGACTGGGAAGGGAAGAACAGGACAGAGAGCTAAGGACACAAAATATTTTTCTGCTGTAAGAAAAGAGCATTTACTTTACAGAACAATAGCAACATATGCTTAACAACAAAGGCAAAAAAAAAATTCTTGCAAAATTTATGAATACTTCCTAAGTCGTAGAAAACAGGCTCAATGTTTTTCATGAGGACAAAAGATAAACACCAACCTTAATGTAAATCCCAAACACATAACAAAGTCAGATTTCACTGTCTACAAATTATTACTGCTACAATAGAGCACTTCAGAACATTTGCATTTCTATGCTGTCCAAGCAGGATACTAGAGCAGTGGGAAGACAAGTGAAAAACGAACACCTAAGGTTAGTGTGAAAAATTTTGTCAGTCTGTTCCCTGGAGAAAAAAATGCGGACATCAAAGTTCTTTCATATTGGTGTCTCCCAAAACTTTCTTAACCTTCAGTTGCAAAACTTGCTTACTTTGCCTGGCTTCATCACCTGCAGCCAGACTGTGTCACAATAGCCCAGATGCCTGCGTTCCCACAATAACATGACCCAGTTTTAGATGGTTAGAGTTACATCAGCCAAAACCCACCTGCCATTAACCATGTAGTCCTACAATTTAATTTTAACCAAATAATTTTAGCAGGTCATGTATGAAGTATGTTATTATTACTAACTTAATTGTTATATATTTCACAAACATGCATTTACAAAGAACTTCCTTTCATTTTACTTCCCAAAAACTTTAAGTAATACAAAAACAAAAATGTAGCCCTTGCCATTTAGATATAGCAAAATTATGTAAAATGGACACTGACCACAATCAAGAACAGTGAAATCTCTACATTTTTATTTTCCCTTGTAAATACATGAATCTCACTGCATTATGAAGTATTTCTAAACATACAAGACAAAATCTCATGACTTATTTCCCTAAGGAGATTTTTAAAAAAATTTAAACCACATCTTATTTTAAAATTAATATGCTCAAATAATATGCCACAATACACTTTAACTCAAAGATACGTCAAAAAACCCCTCAATTTAAAATCTAACGGGCAAGCGATAAATTGTAATCTTTAAAAATTGCACGTTTAAAAGCTGACAGCTTCTACTGGTGATACTGGACTGTTACACTAGACATATTTGATAGAAATCTTACTGTAGAACTGCACAGTAATACCAAATATCATGCTTAATTTAGGTTACTAACAGAATGCATAGGTTTTGATGTCTTGAATGATGAAGTTAAGCCTTTGAAAAGATTTCTGGCAGCACCATTACACTTAGTATGTTACTCTGAAAATCAATTTGATCTTATCTTGGTGACTCAGATGTTATAAAGTAATTTGCAAAATAAAACCAATAAGTTGGAACTATATGTAATAATTAAACAGACCTGCTGGTATGCCTTGTGTACTTGTAACCAATTTTCAATTATTCTTAAAAATAAATTTTATATTAAAAAGAAATCCATTAAAAATTCAAGAGAATTAGAGAAGTTAAAAGAGTAAATCATTCCCAGCTGATCATTTTAGCCACAAATTTGAACTTCACTATCACTTGAATTATGAACATATCATTTACTGTTAAGCCAAGGTTCTAATGCAACACTGTATTTAAAAAAAATTTAATTCAAGTTCACCTGTATTCAGCAATTAGATTTAAATTTAATTATGCAGTGTTATTCTCCACTGGGACTAAAAAGAAACTATGGCCACCATAATGTAGTAGCCTTAACTCAATATATCCATACAGAAAAGTTCTTTTATGAAATGAAGCTCAGATTTGTTTCAAGTTTACTTAGTGGCAAACCCAGCATAAAAAAGCCTACTAATAACCAAGCAATCATGTGTTACACATACAGAGGCAGAAGTAACTGCAGCAACAATTTTATGTACTTCTTAATTAAATAAAATTGACATATAGTAAAGTGAGCAAGCGATACTGCAAATTTCCCACAACACAAAAGTCAGGTTTAATTTTTGACAGTTCTCCTTCCGTAGGCAAGAACTACTCTCAGCTACAAGATTAATTCAGAGTTCAAATTTCACAGCACTGTGAAGCACCTGATTTTAAACTCAAAAATCCTTTAGTGAAGTACATGATAGAGTAGGGGAGGATGGGAAGCAAGGACAGACAGGAAACGTAACAACCAAAGCAAAACACAAAGCCATCACTCCCCCCCGTGCTCACATGTGTACAAGCGGACACTGACAGACAAACCTCCTTCCTTAGGTCTTAAAAAAAGTTGTTGAGAATCCTGCAGTTGACTAACATCACTCAAGGAAATATGTCCCACTCAAAGAAATATCTCCTTAGCAAGTCTGAGGCACCAGGAAAACCTATCTTAAAATTATTTCCATAGTTACACTGTCATTAATAACATTAAGCAAGCTGAAATGAATGCTTCTTGCTTAGTAATCTAGAAACAACAGCTGACGCAAAAGATACGCAGTTTCCAGTAAATAATTGTCAATTCCTAGTACTAAAAAAACCAAACACAACAACAAGAAATCGGCAATAAAAATCAGTAGTACCATAAAGATAACTTGTCAAATAACTTTTCCTAGCTCTTGTCTTTTCTAATTGAGAAAAAGAAACAAAGTAGAGCTCAAATTCACCTATGGCATCAACAAGCAGATTTAGCTTTGTTACTTGAAATGACATGAAAGTTGCACCTACCCATCGCCAACAGGTTAATGTAGCAATATCACTCAAAACACAACAGTATAAAAAGCTCTTAGAAAGTAGTTCTTTGGCTGGTTTTCAGATAATATTGCCTTAGACCAATTCTATTACAGCTAATCTCTAAGGGGAAAAAAATACATTGCTATGGAAGTTATACCTGAAGCACAAATTCAGCAGTGAAGACATCTGTAGGACATAAACAGATTCAATTAAAGGAACCCCTAGGGCCAAACACCATCATGACACATGAATTTTAAATTTCTCACCTGTTCAGCAACTCTAATTCCCAAAACTCCTACATGAAAAATCTTAACTCTGATTAATAATGTTATACTTTAAGTTGCAGTCAATGTTCTGTTTGATTTGCAGGTTCTCCTCCACGCAATAAGCAAACTAAAATTTAAGCTTCCCCAAAATCATTCTGCTGAGAAACAAACTCGATTCATACCATTCTCCAAAAAAATGACTTGGTGTTCTGCATAAACCAAGAGATATAATAACAGTAAACACATATGTCTAGTATCAGGAAACCGACTAAAAGTAAGACAAAACAGACAAACACTGTAAGGTCTGATTATTACATTATGTAGAATGGAAACATTTGCAGGAATGTTGGTACTTACTGTGCCTGGCTCTCTGTCTGCTCCCGCAGCAACCAAGAAATGCACAGACATGCCCGTTCAGACACAGAGGCAAGAACAGAAATAAAAAAGGGGGGAAAAAAATTAGAACACAAGCCGCAAACAGTTTTAAAATGGCTTTTATTTATATAAGTCATTGCACATTCCTAATACAGTGATTTCCTGAAAATTACAGTATTTTGTAAACATGATTTACAGTTTAACCATACACAAAGCCTAGTTTTATTTCATGACAGAATAAATTATTTCCTTTCAAAAATTAGTCAAGTGCAATTTTGCCCAATATTTAATTGTATACTAGAATTTAAGCCTATGAAACTAAAGTAACAGATGCAATTATCTAAATCTTTTGTTTGGACACATTCACTTCAAAATTTAACTTCTCGTTCCCCCTACCTTCCTACCCACCCATTTAACAACATTACTTTCTTTGAAAAAAATTACCCATTATGCAGTTTAACAGTTTTCCACAACATGGTGCAGGCCACTGGTATTACAACTAAGTATTTGCCAGGATGTCAAAACGCCCTGCAAACTATAGAGCAAGTGACACCCAGCGATCCCCATTTAAAATACTGAAAACTTCCAAGCTGAATTTTGTTTCAGTGGTATATATGCAGATATTTTTAAGTTTGCTAACAGTTTTTTCTCATTCTATGTAACTTGAATTCTTTAGAGATGCACATAATTTGCAGCAATGTGCAAATCTGACAGTGTCCTAATCAGGCCTGCCATGCCTCTCACCTCTGTGGTGTTCTGCATCGTGATGCTTCTTGTCATCTTTTATTGCCAAGTGAGACTGCCCACCCAAAGCACTAGAAAGGGCAAGAAGGCCAGCGCTGCTTCCGAGTGGAGGGATTCCTGGAGGCTGAAGTCCTGATGGATGCGGTGTTAGAGGCACTGGAGGTCCATGGCCATGAGAGAGATGTTGAGCCTGCAGCTGCTGCTGCTGTTCCCAGCAATATCATCATCCCCAGAAGAACAATGCATAGCACATAATTTGGGAAGGAAAAGGGAGAAATTTGGTTAATTTTTGAGAATCAACAGTGGATTTTGTCATTTTGTTTGTTCGCTTTAAATCTAGCCTCTCCTCTTGGCCCCACCACACTATACATACTGCCATATGTCATGCTGTCTATGGACAGTTCTGATCATGTCCCACAAATCAAAAAAACCCCAACCAACTAGCTGGAGAGTTGCTGTGCAGCTCGAGGAATATATTCATTTACTCTAGGTTGTTTTGGGCAACTACTGCCTGCTACAGTGTCACTGCTGACAACCAGCCAGCAGCAGGCCAAAAAACCTTTCCCTTTCTATAGAAAGGAGTATTGTTGCTCTGGGGGGGAAAAAAAAACCACAGACCAAAACCAACAAAACAAGTGTCACTGGCAAGATTGACTTAAACTTCCCCCACCCCTTCCTTCAATTTGGAAATAGTAAGTAGTTTCTATTTTGAATATTTTTTAAAAAACTAAAAGATGCTGCTAAATTTCATATCTGTGTAGTTAAATTTATATTTTCTTCTAGCTAAGCTTTTGGGGAAAAAAAAAGTATCATGAAACATCACTGTATTTAGAAATGAACTTTGAGCTTAAAATCCAGGTATTCCAAGTAACACCAATAAGGTCATGGAATTCCCCAAAAGAAACATGATATTAATGAATTAAAATACTTCCATCTGTTTCAAAAGCAGCTTGCAAGATCAATATCACAATGAGTGGATATATAACCCTGTAACCAATCTGGCAAAATAACCTGTAAGCAGTTTTAGAAACAGAGTCCTTATAAGGCAATGACTTCCCCATAGTTCAGATATTAAGATATTTTATAGTTAAAACTGTTATGGTTTTATCAATACTTTCCAAGTTCAGCTAACCATTCAATTTGTCAAAAAGTTAAGCACAGCTTTTAGAATATAAAGCTTCAAAACCATCTTTAACTTAGTCATAGGTCCTTTTTAGTCTGCTACAGGTAAACAGATTTTCTGCCTCCTTCCTGCTTCCTTTTGCCTGGGCATATGAACAGAAGACACAACAAACCTCTCCACCTTGGCCATGCTCCACCATCCCTCTTCTGAAGGCAGACACCAGGAAAAAAGCTAAAGTACCACCCAATTCATGGGATCAAAGAGAAGACAGATAAGCAAATTCCCGAACAGGATGAGCTCAGCTAGACATAAGAGTCTGACCCGGTGAATGCCATTGGTCATGTAAGAGAAGGCAAAATTGTTATAGTGCTGCTGATAGGTACTGAAATCATACTTAGACTCAAGCTCACAATATTTCACAGGTTACTCCAAAATAACTCAAGTCAAATTAACACAAAAATATTTTATCTGCTTCCATAGGTCTAAAGACTCTTCAAGACAAACTGTCAACAATAGCTGCATGAAATCTCCTGGCATACTAATGACTTAATGTATTACTATTTAGTTAACTACTGTGCCCCTACACTTTTATTTCTCATAACCCCATCCCATGACATGCCTTGCACAGTTTATAAATTTATGTAGACATAAGTGACTAACACTGAAGTACTCTGGCCTGGACCCGCTAATCTTGCACTTTTCTGCTGTCCCATCTGTAAAGCAGCCATCATTTACTTATTTTTGATATACAAGACAAATCTTAAAATTTACCGCAATCCCTTTAAGTTAATTCTATAAAGCCAGAAGTTAACCAAATCTTTCACACAACATGTATTAGGAATTTATTTTCTTGTGCTGCATAAAAAGCCTCACTAGTCTTTACTGTAATATGTATATCTGATCGCTATTCTTGCCAATTTTCGAGTATGCTTAAAAAGCAAGATAAGAGAGGTAGTTCTTATTCTTCTATCTTCATGTGTTTTCAACAATTCAAAAACTAAGATTTTGAAGGAAGTATTATTTTCATTTGAAATAGTAAAAGCAGTAGAACGCCTTCTATAATATCAAGCAGCTATTGCTACTGAAAGTTCATTTAACTGAATAAGTGTCAGTAAAGAGCACTGTAAAGTCTCTGTAAAGTAGGGGTTTTTGGGGGGGTTTTTTTAGGTTTTGGTTTCATTTGTTTTTTGATCCAGCCTCCAAAGAACAAGAGGACATCTCTCTTCTCACAGACTTTATCAGGACTTAAGTAGTTTCCAGCATGTTTCTTCACATCAGGAGACAATCTGATGTTTTGGCAGGCTTTCTCAGAGAGATGGTATCTACATTGTTCCCTTCCTCATTGACCACTTAAGCCAGGTCAGTCATTTGTACTCTAGCCATGAAAAAATGTGCATCAGCAGTACTGTACTGCATTCATGGCATTGGCCTTACTTGTCCCCAGCTGCACTATCACATCAGATTACCTAGTTGTGGCGTGCAATTGGCCAAGAACAAAAAGTGATTTATCCCTTCCAAATTGGTTTCCCAGAGAAAAACCTGCTCCCTTCTCCAACAGTGAGCTCAAATTAGCTTTCTTTCCAGTGTGGGCAAGGGAAGGTCAAAAAAGGGAAATTAAGTAAAATTGTTTCCATTCTTGTCCCTATCCCTTCAGGAAGCCTATGAAGATTCCCTTTATTCATGCCTCTCTTGCTCTATTCAATTAGCAAACAAGTTAACCCATATAATTTCAGGAAGCATAGCTTAGTGTTTTTAGATATCAAACTGTTAGGGACACGTCACCTAGCGCTTCACCAGCTCTGCTTTGTAGCCTAAACACAGGGTAGTCCCAGAAATGAGGAACAGATCAATCCCCTCTAACGGTTCTGAAGCTGAAAGCATGTAACAAGAAAAGCTACGTCCTGTTTCTCTGACACTACTGCATATCAAGGATAGGGAGTAATGTCTAGTATAAAGTGTAGAACAGAATACAAGAGCTGTAAGTGGAAACACATCACTCTGCATAACATCCTAGCAAATTTGCAAAATAGTTACCAAGGGTAGCAAAGGAAAGTGGTACCCAAAGATGCTTAAATATCCAACTACGTTACACAGACTTAAGACTGAAAACCTGATCATGGTCTTTAATCGAAGAAAGGTATATTGTGGTTTAATGTTTATTACGTGAGGATCACTGCTACTTAAGTCTCAAGTATATTGGTTTATTGTTTGTATATTACCTGTTCATAATAGGTTTAAAGTTGTCCCTAACACATACATAAAGATGACCCTTTCCAGAAGTTCATGCTCTGTTTACTTAAAAGCTTGAATTGTTAGAATATATTGTATTCTTCTCTTTCTAGACGGGGAAAAGGGAACGAGTGCTGCACACAAAGGAAGAAATTAAAGACCAAGAAGATGGATAACAGTAGTGCTCACCAGATGTATTTAGTAACTAGACATTTGTCACAGCAGATCCTAGAAACAATTATGTTATGCATATAATCGCTTTCCCGTCACTTCAAAGACACTAATGCCTGCTCTGTCACCTTTTAAGAGGTTAGCAGCAGTGAGATATAAAACAGAGTAAGTTGGCAGCAGTATCATGGTCTACTAGGCATGTTCATTAGCACTTAATTAAAAACTAGACACCTGCCATAAGAAATGTGCTCAAAAAAGGATGAGTAACAGGTCTGACTTACTACCAATTATTATCATTACTTACAGAGCAAGGGCTGTGTCCACTTTCAGAGGGAAGTGGGAAGGCAGAGAAGAGTGCAATGACACATACGTAAGTGACTTCATTGAGATAATTAGCCACAGCACTAATTTTAAAAACACCAGTAGTCCACCACCATCTTGTTGCAAAAACAGAAGTTCTCATATTTGCAAAAGGAGAAAAGAAATGGAAAATACAGCTTACTGTACTGTCTAGATGCAGATTTTATTGCCTCAATTTTTTTCCCAGTATACCCTTAACCAGACCACAAAGACCCAAAACTCAACATATGAAGAGCACAGCACCTACTTCTCTGAGCAAGCACCTCCAAAAAATTTTAAAGGCAGGACAGTTTCTCCCCCACAACACCCTAGGCAAGTTCCAGCTATAAAGAGCTCTTTAACTAGGACATAAAGTTTGGAATTAATTTTCCATCTCTGCCAGAGACTTCCACAGACAGAATTAGGAAATCTATTTCACAAAGTCTTACTATACATAAACAATGGCATGCCTCCTTTAGGCTCCTTGCTTACCAAGACAGAGCATGAACTCCTACAGTCCCATTTCTCACCTTAAAGTACCTCTGTTGACATCACAAACACACATGGCTTACTTAAAAATCCAGTTTTGAATTCCTAGCTTTAAACGGTTAGAGCATTCTTCTGTTCTTAAACAGATGTGTGATGTACTATTCAATATCTGTTGAAAAAGCACTGAATTAAAAATTCAGATGTGATGATACATCAACAGTGGAAAAAAGGTTATACCTGGTTCCAAACTACAACAGTTGTCATCTCTTGTGCTCTTCTAAATAAACACCTGAGAGTAGAAAAAGTTTTCAAAAAACCTTATAGCACTAGTAACACTATCAACACATTCCCCTGAGCTCCATAGGTGTTCTGAAAAAGTGCATGGCAAGCCCAAAAGTCATTTAGAGACCTAAAATGTAAGGGCGCTACTTCATGTCAACTTCTGTAAAACTGAAGAAAAGTAATTTTAATAAAACTCAAGTAGGCAGAAAGACGTGAGAGAAAAACATATTGTTTTCAATTTCATTGCCGTCTCTCCCTTCCCAAAGGGAAATCTTCAGGTTTTTTTCATTTACTTGCTTAAGCAGCAGAAGGAAGTGAGAGCCTGTATCAAATGTCTGTGAACATGAGGGCCACTGTCTGAGCACATACAGCTAGTCAACCAAGTGAAAACCTTCTCCCCCACTGTTTAAAAAGATTCTTAAAACAAATATGGCAAATGCCACATTCCAGAAAAAAAAGCAACCAAAACCAACTCAATCTTATGCTCCTGTCAGATCCAGTCTTCTCCCTCATTCTAAAAAAAATCCAAAACATTCTAAAAAAATCCAAAACCCTGCACACACAACCCATGC